GAGAAATATCAAATGGTTCCTCATCGCAAGCAGTTCCTTACGAGGTGAAAAAACAGATGGTGGATCTGTGGGTATTAACCCACAGGTACAGGGAAGAATAGAAACAGCTCCGCACAGAGATGATAGGTGCTATCGATGGGACTCATGTCTACATCAGGAGTCCTGATGGGGATCAAGCCCTGTACTTCATTTCAATTATAGGATCATCCCAGAGGATGCATGGTGACGAGGAAACAGTATCACAGTCCTCTGTTTGTAGAAACATTAAAGATGTTTCAGAAGCTATTGCAAGAAGGAAGAGGCAAATCGGTAGGTTGTTTGGGATCATGCTGGGAAAATAACAAGTATCGTGGCAAGATGGCCAGGCAATCGATATCACAGTCATCTGTTTGTAGAATCATTAAAGATGTTTCAGAAGCTATTGCAAGAAGGAAGAGGCAAATCTTATTGATGGGTTGTTTGGGATCATGCTGGGAAAATAACAAGAATTGTGGCAAGAAAATACTTTCAGACAAGACATTCTTCTATCAACTTCATTCCAGAAGATGCATGGTGATGAGGCAACAGTATCACAGTTACCTGTTTGTAGAATCATTATTGGTAGGTTGTTTGGGATCATGCTGGGAAAATATCAAGTATCGTGGTAAGATGGCCTGGCAGCACTCACGATTCTCTGATTTTTTCGGAGTGCACATTGAAGGAGCAGCTACAGGCAAGGGCAGATGGTGCTGACTGCTGAGTGGCTACTTGGAGATAGTGGGTACGTGGATTGGTTTTTATGGTAATCCCATTGTAATCATAAATGCAGACATGCAGTACATTTAAAAGTTCTTTCAAGGATAACGATACCGTTTAATTAAAATTTACATTCCCTTGCTTTCTTGAATTACCAAATGCATGCTTCTTATTTTGACTAAGCAATAACGCAACCATTTCCTATTATAAAGAGGGGATCGGAAATTGAGACATTTGGATAGATTTGGACATTGTCTTGCAGGCATTAATAAGAAACAGATCAGATCATTATTTTACTTTGTACTGAAAAGCACTTCCAATTTAAATGACATTTTAAGAAAAAGACAATTTTCTCACACAGCCAATGCAGACAGTTTATTTTTAAATGCCAGATTGATGTTGTAGATTAGTTTCTTCCACAATTATATCATTATGATGTAAATTAAAGAACCTAATTGTAGGTAAATTCAGCTGGCCTCTTTTTTTCAAATCGAGTGGTCCAACCCTGGAACAGCTTACCTAACAACATAGTGTCTGCACCTACTGTGGCTACTTTTAAGAGAAAACTGAGAGCCCTTCCCATAGGACAAGAGGGCTAATCAACCAAGTATACCAAGTAAGTATACCAAGTAATATCTCTAGTACTTATAATTTCCTAAAGGAAGGAATAACAACGAGTAAAGATGTGTATTTTTGGTCTTGAAATCTTCAAATTTCAGGTATCCGTGCCTCCCCTACGTCCTTGAGGGCGGCCAAATGTGCGCTACAATACTGCCCACAAAAGAGGGCGGTGTGTTATTCAGCAGACCTTTGGCCTAAAGAAGAAGAGGTTCCCTTGCTTCAATGATCTGTGCGCGAAGGTGGGCACTAAATTCACGATTACAGTGGCTTGCTTTGTCCTGTGGAATATCTCTTGACCTTTGTGAATTCGGGCCAATGAGTCCAACTCCCTGGAAATATGGGGTACACACATATCAGAGATTATGAACAAGAATTTGTGCTACATGTAGGAGTCCAAGCTGAAGAGAAGGAGGAATACACATAAGGCTCGGATTAGAATTTTGGAAAGATGTGGAACACACTGTAAAATCAGTACACATTCAATACCATAATGAGAAAAGGCAGTGCCAAAAAATTAGAATAAGAATAATAGACCACAATTCCGATGGCTCTCCAAGCCTAGCTTTGCCCGTGATACACCAGAAGCCATCATTGAATACATGGATTCCAAACTCCTGGAAAATATGGTGTGAAAACATCAGGAAAAAATACAGGGGGCAGAGGGCGACTTTGCCACAGAAATACCAAAAAGAGCCCCCCAGATAGGCAAAAAATGCGTCTGCAAAATTTTTTTTTTTTGTTATCCCAACTTCCGTAGAGCTGCCTCTCCAAAATTCAACCATCCTCGAAAACTCTCCACTCCAATGAAGAGTAGACACTCAACCTTACTTGCGCCATCAACGACTCAGCAGATGACCCATGGATTATCAACCAAGATGAGCAGTCTCTCCACTCCGATGAAGAGTAGCCACTCAACCTTACTTGCGCCATCAACGACTCAGCAGATGACTCATCGATCATCGACCAAGATGAGCAGTCTCTCCACTCAGATGAAGAGTAGCCACTCAACCTTACTTGCGCCATCAACGACTCAGCAGATGACTCATCGATCATCGACCAAGATGAGCAGTCTCTCCACTCAGATGAAGAGTAGCCACTCAACCTTACTTGCGCCATCAACGACTCAGCAGATGACTCATCGATCATCGACCAAAATGAGCAGTCTCTCCACTCAGATGAAGAGTAGCCACTCAACCTTACTTAACTGTAAACATCTCGTAATAACAGAGGCTCAGTGTCAAATGACACGTATATCATTAGCACAACAACATCAAGAAATTCTCGGCCGTCAGGCACAGCCAGAACTAGGGGCACGCTCATGCGTATCATACACATCATATCAGAGATTATAAAGGAAAACCTGAGCTAAGAGTCTAAGCCGAGGAGCTAGCTAGCTAGAGGGATATTCATAGATTGGAATTTTGGAATATAATGACGTTGATCTTGACAATTTTAATCTCCTCACCAATGAAGCAATTAAAGAGCTAATCCCAGAAGCAGGCAAAAGAGTGAGATTCAAGGAGGCATATAAAATTAAATCAGAACGTTAACAATATACCACAATCTAGAAGGCTCTCCAAGCCTAGCTTAGCCTGTGATACAATAGAAGCCATTATCAAATTCATGGTGTCCAAACTCCCAGGACATATGGGTGTCCAAACTCCCGGGAAATATGATATGACCAAATCACACATGGTTCATGAAGAATTTCAATGGACCCAGGAGAAACAGAAAACACTGGATTGACGGAGTAAAAGAATACTAGAAGAATACCTTTTGACAGTGTGCAAATCAAGAATACAAATCTTTAATGTTTGTTTTGTGGCGACAGGTCACAATTGTCATGTTAGGTTATATAGTGTGGGAATGTTATGTTTAGTACCCAATTGAGGGCTACTACTTTAAAAAACTTCCTTGTGATTTTTCCACAAATCACTTCACATATTTATTCAAATCGTTTTGTTTTTGTTATTCAGAATGGCGAGTGAGGAGAGCTACAGGGTGGTAGAATTCCTTGAGGACAATCGGTGTTCTATCATTTCAAACACCTGGTTGTTTGAAGAAGATGCGAGTACAGTATTTTTAGGCGTACATAAATTGAATGTACATTTATAATGAGTTCACAAATTTCTACGACTTACATAAAGACCAGCCCAGACTAATTTTAAATTTCTTTTGATTTAAACAGAAAATGAAATCAACGAAATAGAGCAGTGAAAATTTCATGTAAGGGGATTTGCAGACACTTAATTTCAATTGTAGATCCAAAGATAAGTGTAAAAAAAGAAGTCTGTATGAAAACTTTTTCCTTTTGGGAAGTGGAAATAAAACCCTACTTTTTGTACTAAGGCTATGCATCAAATTTTTATCCAGCAATTCTTAAATTTAAAAATCAAGATGAAAAACGGCCGTTATTTTGTGGATAATGAAATTTATACTGTGGAATGTACAGGAAAGACATAATATGCAATTAACACTCATAGTTTCTTGAAAAAAATGAACTATGTATGAACAAAAATGTGATATCTTTGTTCACCTTTCTGTTGGAAATGAAATAAATATGAATATGAATATGAATATTATCTTATGTATGTTCGGGGATTCAGATCTTTTAATTTTTTTGGACACCTTTGAAATGAATTTACCATGGTATTGAATAGTTATGTATTAAATGGAAAGTTAGTTTTGGTATAGACTGTTGGATGTCTTGAGAACTACCACAATTTGAGGCAGAAGTCATCTGTACAATCACAAGCCGAGTAGAGGGTCAATATTGGATGGAAAAACTTTGACAAGAAAAAAACTGAATACTACGTTCAAGTAAACTAACGCCTACCAAGCCGACGGCGCAGTGTTAGAAACGTGCAGCAAGGCTCATCCTCCCTTGCCTTGTTAGATAGTGCAGTTTTGTCATTTTTTTCATTCTTCACAAATAGGAAAAATTCAAAGGGAAGAATTAGTGAAATCGAAAGTAAACTTCAAAATTCCAAGGGCAATAGTACTTTTAACTTGAAGAAATTGATTATTCTTATGGAAGCCAAACCAAGATTTACCATGCTACCTATTCATATAACGTTTGAGCTAGAACATACCCATGTACGCTTCAAAGGGGGGGGATTAGGGCTTTAATCCTGCAAAATGTTTTTTTATTTGTGTAAGTTAAAACAGAGGGAGGCCTCATTCTCAGTTCTGATACAGGAAGAGGAAGAGAAGGATACGTGGAAGTGGATTTTTTTTTGTTGTTCAAAACATCAATTTTTACAATGTAACTGTACAAAGTGTGGTAAGATCAATCTAAATTGACACAAGTTTCATGTTTCAAACAATGTTTTGACTAATTTGGATCAATTTGGTACACTGGACAAAAACAGAAAATGTCCCCTATATGAAATATGAATTAAATCCTTTTTGACTCTCATCAGATGGAATTAATGCAAAAGAAATGTATTGTTTGTTGTATCATGTTCAGTGGTGTCCTATATTCCTGTTGCTATGTATGAAATAAATTCATTCAAACAACGTACTGCCAAAAGTAAGAAACTCTGCATTAAGATTCAGCCTTTTTTTTAAATATCTGTCTTAGTCCAATAACCTGTAAAAAGCATCCATTACATATCATCATATCAGCCACTTATTACAGGTCATAATAAATATCAATTACTTTTGCAATCAACACATACACTGTACTAGTGTTGTGCATTTTCATTTCAAAATTTTCTGTAGGAACCAAGAACATTTTGGTTTCAAAATGATCATACATAGACTTTAGTGTACCAAGCTTATTGTTAAAAAAATCCCAAAACAAAACATACCTCTACAGAGCAGCACATATCTGACTTACAGCATTTTGTCTTTCTCAAAAATAAATAAAATCAAAATATTTTTCAAACATTCTTTTGAAACAGAAGAGGTAGCAACAAATAAGCTACACAGTTGTAAACATTACCCATTTCTTTCACTTTGGAGCACCATCATTCAATATCTTCATGTCAGATTTCATGTGTAAGGCACTTGGAATGTATGGGAAAATAATCTTTCTGGGAATACCTTCACCTTTAGAACTAGTATTAATACCTGAATATCCAAATTAAATCAAACTGTGCACTGAAGAAAAACTTTAAAAAGCCAAGAACAGGCACAATAACAAGGCATACAACTCTAGGGTGGTTGCTACTTTTCCATCACAAGATCGTAAGTACTGTATTTTTGTCAGGCATCCATCTTGCACCAATACACACTTCCATCTTAGATGCATAGACTCACGTATACCATGAGGGGGCTAGGTAGAGCTGCTTCAGACAAAATCATAAAGGTATCTGATGATGTCGAAGTTCACCGTCCTGAAGAAGAAAAAAAGCAAAGAGAAAATGAAAGTGTAATTTTTGAAGGTTTATTTGCACTTTTTTGTTTTGTTTAAAGACCGTCAATACTACTGGGCCAGAAGGGATTAGACCACACAGCGAGGTCACTGACAGGTGGCGATCTCATTAACTCAGCTCTCAACTAACATAAGAAAAAGATAATCATGGGGCAGCAACAGGCACCGATTGCGGAAGTTTTCCATATATATATAGCTACAAGTAGGACAGTGGGGCTTTAATGTGTAATTGTTTATATTGTATTTTGTTTGTTATAGTGCTTAGAGACTTCAGTGGTAAGCGCTTTATAAGCACCCTTTTTATTATTTTTATTTATTATTACTGAAGTCATGCTATGAAATTCAGATATTGATAGTAATAATTGGTAAAACTGCAAGCGGATCAACAAAAAGGGTGTGTGCTGATTAGTAAGCTAATACTCCATTGAGAATATCACTTACTTATTTGATTTTCTATGACGGAATCTAAGGGATACATACATGTGCAATGTCAACAAAACCTTATCATGAATAACCTACTAAAACATATTATCCTTCCAACAAGACATATATCAAATCATCAAAAAACTTACTTGATGTAGTAAACTATTTTTTTGTTTTCACCCAGTACATACCGTCTTCTTGTCTTGTATAACTAAACCTTCATTTGTTGCTTTATGAAACCTGATAGTACAAATACCGTATTTGCCGGCGTAAAGGCCGCACCGCCTTATAGGCCGCACCCCCAACTTTGACATTTTGTAGAGGAAAAAAAAAAACTACAACAAAAAAAAAAAAAAAAAAAAAAAAAGAGAAGAAAAAAAACGGACCAAACAAAATGATCGTAATTTTCTTGTAGAACACTCTTTTTTTTTTTACAAACTATACCAAATTCATCAATATTCTTATAAATCAACAAAAAGTTAACCTCAAAAATGATCATAATTTAGCAGATCTTCATCGACTTTTAAGCTAGTACTGTATCGTACGCAGATTTGGTATCCTACAATACCCCTTCCTCGATGTGCGGTGTAATCCGAAATAGCATTTTTCGACCTGCGCAGTTGCGTTGCGCGGCAGCTAGCTCCGTAAGTGACGGCCTGTCCCTTTGTTTACTTTTTGGCGATGCAATGGTATGGACTTAGATCTAGATCTATTGGCAGATTTTATTAGAAAAATGAGTTTTTTCGTCTTCATGTCAACTATGCAACATAAACTTGTTGGTAAGTTGTGTGGAGTTATTCTAGAATTGTCCTGTACTGTTGTCTAGTCATGCTACCGTTCCTATAGTCCCATACGTGCAAATGGACGTGATGTTTTGACCGCTGAATTTTGTTGTTGTTGCGTATACGCCGCACCCCGACTTTTTTATTTTTTCTCACCCGAAAATACTGCGGCCTTTACGCCGGAAAATACGGTACTTCACTTTTCCCCAAGTTTCTTATTATTAAAATAGTTCACAAGACAAACTTAAAGGAAAATCCAACCTTGATAGCAAACTCTCTTGAAGAAAGCAGACAAATTAGAGAAGCATACTTGCATAAAATCAGGCAAAAAATGATAAAGTTATGAATTTTTGAAAGTATCAATCATTATAAGCACGAGCTCTTCAAATTGGCTGAATCAGTATGTATCTATGATATTATAGTGGCGGACAACTTTCCCATTTGTTCAAGCAACAAAAATGACTAAACTTACAACAACAAAAATGTATTCTTTAAGGATCTGTAATTTATTTAAAGTAGTGCCTCAAGGGTGAAGGCACTTGGGGAAATAAACAGATCTCATATTTAAAACTTTTATATCTCTCTCTTGTCATTGGTTCGATTTATGTCAAACTTTGCCATTCTTTTTCTCTGATTTTTCTGCTTTCATTCAAATGACTTGATGAATAAAAGAGTTGGATTGCACTTTCATCATGAATTCATCTTAGTATGAACAAAGAATATCTCATATCTTAAAAAGACATACCTTGCTATTGACCTGATGAAATCTAGAGACACTGTGCACTTGTACTTGGGAACATCTAGCTGATCATCATGACCAACGTGGGATAAGAGTTGCAGGGTCACTAAGGAAGAGATCTATACAGGAAAGAGAAGAAAAAAAATTAAGCTTTAGGAAAGAAAACGATATAACAACAAAGTGTTGGAATTTTAAAGTTGTTCACCAGGATAACAATAGTGGTCTTGATTGCTTCCCGACTGTTTTCATATCCAACTGTCAAGGGTTCCAATGACAATTCTTCATGACAAATTTCAAAACTCTGAAAATCTGGTACTTTAATAAATATTTTAATAAACTTAACATAGTTTCCCGTTATAAACTTCAGTTGAGAAACATAAACATACAAATCATATGCTTGATTTCATTAAAATGTCCATGTACATTACTTATACAAAAATAGGACCACCCACTCCGCCAACTACATGTTAATACCGGTTGTTTACCTGAGAAAAGATATTTGCAGATGGTGCAACCCTTGCATCTACAACACTGTAGAAGATAGCCATGAGTCTGTCTAAGGGGAATGCCTTGGGACCTAGAAGCTGGTTGCTAGTCTGAAACCATAATATAACACAAAGATATCAGATGATTATTTTCAAGTTCATTTATAAGAAAGATAAATTGTATAAGCATTGTTTTTTTGTCAACATAATACTGTACTTCATTTTACTACTATGGAATGATATCCCGACTAAAATCATGTTGTACAAAACGAATGAAAATTGAGCTATTTTTTTTATTTATGTTTTGTCATGAATAATAAATTCACTTATAAATACACATGATTCGATCTTTATAAGGCTAAAATCATATATGTGTTTGTTAAATGATTATGGAATTGGATGGACATCACCATCACATGAACAAAGACTGTATGTGTCCAGACCTCTTCTCAGTTGCTGGTTAAAAAAAAAGACATTCAGAGGAAATAAGGAGCACAAACTCTGCAATCACCTCCTTCTTTTTAGACACCTTGGCAGACTTCTTAATTTTCCCATGATGCTTTGAGAAGAACCGTCTGTCTGTCCTGGCGGGGTTGTAGGAGGCAAGGTATGCTGCTATCAGAAGGAACTTGGAGTAGAATGGCAGTTCGACATGGGCTCGGGCAGAGAGCATGGTGGGAAGACTAGCATGACTTGAAACTTCCTGTTGGTATTTCTCCCACTGTGAGCTGAGGAGATTGACAAATAAAAATATTAATTACAAAGTTCAGATTTTATCTTTATAGATTATATCTGTATAGACATATTAGAGACATGTACATGTTACTACATATAACCGATTATATTCAAGGACTATAAGCCCGTTCATAGTTGCAGTCTGAGCATGAGCAGATAAAGGTCATTGCAGACCAAATTGTGAAATACACAGAGACCAAATACTGGATACATGCTCATGAAAGTTATGAAATCATTATTCATTTATGCACAAACAGTGCACTCCATGATACACAGGTGGAAGTATTCTTTGAAAAGGGGGAAACAAATGCCATTTATGTTGCACCTCCATCGCTGTAGGAGTGATTGTTTCAAAATGTACAAAGTGGGACCTTTTCATGTTTTGAAGATCTGTGGATATTCAGGGTCATTCCGGAACATGTGCTAACCGTGAACTGGTCTATCAAAGAAAATAAATTCCTTTTTTTATCTTTGATGCATCAAATAAAAATATTTCACTTATCTGTGGACTTGATATTTAACGAAGTAACCCTGTGATAATACATATATAGCTAAAAATAACTTCTTCTTTTTTCACCTTGACACTTCCCTGAGGTAGATGGTTTGGAGTGCTTTCTTGAGATGAGGTTCAATATTCCTCCACAGCTTGTGTGCATCATCCACAGTAGCTTCTCCTTTGGTAATGGGTTCAATGTACTTTTGAAAGTTGAGTTGGGCCTGGAGTAAAATATAAGTTTTCAGCATTAATATACATGTAGACACATAATTTTTTATTCAGTTCTTTAATCTACCCAGTATTACTGCATTAAAGGGATAGTTGAGTTCTGTTGCAGACGGCGCTACACAAAATAATTTTTTTGTGAGATAATGAAAAACTGAGTGTCAAATTTGAAAGAACATAATATTTATATGACAAAATCATCTTTGTTTGATCAAAATTGGTTCAGAGACGGCTGAAATATTCATAAATATAACAATTTCTAATACTTGTGTACCACCACAAATATTAGATATTTTGACAAATTTGAAAAAAACGGTGAATAAACGAAATAGCGCCTTTTACGTCGTATTTCAGCCAATTTCGATATTGGCTTTTTTTCATTTATGTGTTGCTTATATTACGCACAACCAGCCGGCCCATGTATTGTTATTTTTAATTAAATAATTAATTAACGGTCACCATGTTGTTTTTTAAGTGGAGCTGAATTGGTATGATTGTATTGGCTAAATTTCACACATTTTGGGGTCTAAAATTACGTTCATAGCAATTTTAGGTTCTAAAAGGGCACTAGAAATGTCATAGATAAGAATAAGAGCAATAACCATGCACTTTGAAGGCATCTGCGGTCTGAAAACAGAACTAAACTATCTTTTTAAGGTCCATAAACATATTTTTCCTGTTATCAGTCTTCTCAGCACACACAAAAATATCATGTTGTAATAAAATAATAGTATTTTAAAATCACAAATATAGGGCACATCCTCATTCTCATTCTCATTAGAATAGATAGATCTTTTTTTTTAATCAAACAGAATTGTGTCTATGTCCTTAGAAAATCAATCAAGAGTACAAAAGAATTGACAGATCTTGTTTTGCTTTCAAATTCAAAAGTTGTATTCTATGGAGTATTCAATGCCAGTGTACTGTTACACAAAGATTCATAATAAACTGCTACTTGTTTAGAATCAATCGTCAAGCCGTTTTAAATCAGAATACAGTGGACAATGGAATCATAACTGAAACTTTTAGCTAGATTCTCTAGAGAGAACCAATTGATGAAAATTTACAACTGAATTGAACCCTATGCCAGAGAAGCTTCTGTACGGGAAACCAAAACTCACCAAGTGTCTGATTTCGTTGAGATCCCTGCAAGCCATGTAGAAGATGCTTAGGAGAAGGTTTAGGTAAGATGCATAGAAGGTACACTTATAGCCAGCTGGAGGGTCTGAGGCAATGATCTCCAAGATCTCATCTGTAACAGGGAATGCATTGAAACTTTGAATTCAGAACTGACATGAAAGCCTTAAAGTGACTCAGTAACATTGTTGAAGGTTGATGAAAAATCTAAGTAAATTTTGTATGAAATGTTACTTATTACATGTATATCCATTTTACTGTACAAACCATCTAACATGCAAAAAAACATGGACAAATTCTCAAACCACAAAGATATTTATGGTTTTCTTTGAAGGTGTCACTCAAAGTGTTCTTCAAACCATTTTTTCATGGAAATAAGACATAAGACGGGCTTTTAAAAATCTTTCAACACTTAAATGTCAGGAATAGTATATAGAGCCACTTCATTGCTTTGTAACGTTTACATTCACCTAAATTGTAACTAAATTGTAATATAGTTGGGAGAATTAAGGAATCAATCAGATCAGTTTTCCTTAATTTTTATCATTAATAATTGTCTGTTTGCGCTCAAACTTTCATATTAGCATTGAAGTCACTACCTTAGCACCATTTTCTCTCATCTGAACAATGTTGCCAAGTCCCTTTAAGAATGCCTTGATGATACATGTTGGGCCATATTAATGTGGCATTATAAACACGTAAAGCAACTCCTTAGAGAAATATATTATACAGCAAGGAAGAAAGATGATGAGTAATATAAATACTTCAGAGAATAACTATCAAGCTTGACATTGAACATGTATAATATATCAAAGCTAGGATTAAAAGATATTAGCAGTTCAAGGCCTCCGCTTTGTTTCCTAGGACTAGGCATTAATATGATGCCTTTATTGTATGGACTAATCTCAATCTAATCAGTCCTGAACTATGTGTATCGAGTAATTCAATAATTTCAGCAACACCTATGTGTGAAAGTTAATGGAACACAGCACATGCCATGAACAGAGCAGAAACTAAGCTCATAGTTAAAATGGCCAATTAGTTGGATTCAACACTCAGCAATTTTTGTAATACCCTCTGGAGAAATCATATTTCATAGAAATCTCCTTTCTAGGAGATAAAACTCTGCTCTTACTGACATCACACTATAACTTATGACTTCTTTCTGCTGCTAGACCCTCAAGCACAGAGTTTACAGCCATATCATCAACCATCTAGAAGACCATATATCGTTTTTAAGTGACCGCTTACATGGCTTACAGGGATTGGGTATCTTTGCCTCAGATTCTAAACAAAATCCTGGATTTAGCTCATGCTGCAATCATAGTTATAAACCTTTTGGTCAGTCAGGAATCCCATGGCTTTTACAAGCCGATCGCTTGTCTGATTATTAAGATATTTTTGATTGGAAATCGAAATTTCAAAAACACACTAAAGTCTATTGGGGGAAATGAGTATGATGATTTTGAAGCGCAATTTTGTTAGGGCTTTAATATTACACCGTATCACAGATACTGATTACTTGTATAGGCCATGCATCTCAGATTTAACATTGTCAAACAATGCCTTTAACTTCACATAAATTTTGAGAAACTCAGCTCAACACCAGTTCAGCGCATATAACACTGAGTTCCTATGGGAAATATATTTATTCAAATGGTTATATCTCAGCCAATACTTAAAGTTGATACTCTAAGACAATCCCAAATACTGAGATAATTACATAAATAGAAAGCTTTTAACCCCCATAATAACACCAAATGGTGTCCGCCCGACAAAACAAGTTTAGAATAATGAATTTATTCAAGTAAACTCTACCAAAATATCTAAGTCTGAAACCCAGAAGTGCACGTATAGTCGGGCCTCTATCCGTGACGTCACGAACGGGACTCATGGGCTCAGTGAGAGTGAATGGCAGTGATATCTCTACGTAAATGCTATCCTGCAGAGCTTAGATTTGTTGTTGTTAAGGAGTATATTTGATGGATTTTCTGTTTTCATTTGAATGAAGAATAACGAAGCAACATTTTCCAGTCGCTGATTTCTTTTTATATCCTCATATTCACCTATTTGGTAGAGATTTAAGACGAGTTTACTGCTTAGGAATTAAAGTTAAATCGTGCACGTATGAATAGGCGGATGCATTATATTGTCATCAGATAAGGTACAAGAGCAGTTTTGTAAAACGAATAGGTCTAGAACTATGATAGTACTTATCATAGATGTGTGTGACTGCCTCAAAAAAGGATACAGTACCAGTTAAACATTTTATGTTGTAAATTATATACCTCACTTAAGTAATCCAGCCATCTGATTGGTCGAAATTGCATTCATAAACTTCAACTGTTCCTGTAAAATTCCCGGTAACCATGCTTAAAACATTTAATATTTTTAATAACCATGGTTATTAAAAAAATAGGTCAGTCTCCATGGTTACCCCATAGGTTTACATGTTAAAAAATGGTTTGAGCGATGGAGGATACCGTATGTGTGCGAATAATTGGTCGGTAATTTCAATACAATTGAATCTCGATCGATCTTACCGACAATTTTATCTTGCATTAACATGAAGACGAAAATAAACTTCCAAAAACAAAAAAAACAACATCTGCCGTTAGATCTTGATCTAAGTTCGTGCCAATATGCATTGCAAAAGTAAAAGAAGAGTCCGTATATGGAGCTTTTGCGAAGCATTCATCACACGCGAAGCCGGTTTCAATCCATTTTAATGTATATATAGTACAAAACTGCCAAGCATGTTGATAGCGCGCGATGGCCGAGAGGTCTGAGGCGCTGACTTTAATATCATCACCTTTTGTACGCAAGAGTTCGAATCTCATCTTCGACCAAAAAAAAAAGTATTTTTTATTTTTTATTTTTTAGTCTATTTTTTTTCGGCATATAAAAGTATTAATGACTGCTTTAATATTCGAGAAATAGTTGTTTTTATACGCTCTCGGGAAGGTTACAATTGGGCTATTCCCCTCGGCACGCCTCGGGTAATAGCACAATTCTAACCTTCCCTTGAGCGTATAAAAACAACTATTTCTCTCAAAGCAGTCATTAATACTATAATATCAAACTTGAACGAGATCATGCAAGCGCGCTGCCTCTATAATATTTTGGCGAGTGATGCAGCTCTTGCATGAACGTTCGTGAAGCGAGCAGAATCGGGAGGTAAGACCAAGCCGCTGCTCTAGGCACTGCTTGCTTGTGATGGAACGTACGTGCGCTAGTTATATGTTTATCGGCAATTGCAAGAAAATGAAAGCGACGTTGCCAGCTAAGAAAAACAACGAACATGGACTTGCTCCTGACTACCGGTGTCAAAATTGGTAGATGAAGGATCTTCAGGGCCAAGGAAGGCGAAAGACATGGGAAAAAGGAAGAAGAAACCATCGGGAGATCGCTGTAGTGTATGGTAATGAACTGTGCATGGGTAGACAGCTACTGTTCACTCCGTGCCTGGGCCGATTTCAACACCAAAACAAAAATTACATGGTGAAAATATCGACTAATAGCACATCGTTGGCATGTATATGTCATAATTTTTAAGAGGGGAATTGATATTAATACTATGAAGTACTAGGGGAAGGTAAAGAATTGTACATAGAATTATGATTTATTAGACTTTTCAGCCTTTGAAACAAAAATATGCAGAAAATCGTATCACTCTGCACATGTTTGCTATGGAACATCCGGGTACGTGAATATACTCTTTCCCGGACGTGAGGTCATAAATAGTAGACCAGCGCCGTGACTGATTTTCTATGCAAAGAGAGGCGGATATATTCGACATTTCAATTGAGGATTTCGAGTAGACAGAATTTTTTTGTGATATACTAAGTAATTGAAAAACTTAAAAATAACATATACTTGCCGTAGGTAACAAATTAAAGGACATTTATTTGCTTAGAGTATCAACTTTAACATATTCAATTGGTTTTCGACAGTTGGACATTATTTTTGATGCTCTTTTGGAAAATGAAGAAAAAACTGAGAAATTCTAAAAATTGATTTTTGATGACGTCACACTTCACCACTCTATAGTGACCGCCCAAGGGACACACAAAAAGTGGTCTTTTAAGACAGGTTCCTTTTAGTACATGTTTCAATGAGAAACCATTTTCAAGGGAAACACAACATGGGGTCTTTGTAGACAGGTGATCCTAAAGCAGGTTTGACTGTATTACAAATGGTGACTTTGTCACTTATTCTAATGTCTGTGACACATGAAAAACATGAACATTACTTACTCTTAGTATAGTCGGGGAAATGAATGATGACCGGTTCACAATAGCCAGTGCCACATCTGAACTTCTCCCACACTATCTGACTCAGCATGATGACACACACATTACACTCAGACAGCTCTGAAAGCCTCAGAAAGGCTGGTAAGATGTGCCCCTCCATGAATCGTAACCTCTCTGCTTTATCGAGTACCTAATCGCAAAGAAATGATATAATTTCAAGTAATCATATTGAAATAACTCAAGGTATCTTTATGAAAACCACATACAATTCAAAATGTTGACGGTAATATCAAAATAGCACCGAACCTTGTTTAAAGCATATATAATATGCTACATACTGTGAAATATCCTTTAAAATATAATCCCTATAATTTTTTAATTTTTTAATCATGTCTATGACACAGCAAAATATCCTTCATCATATATTGTATATTTCTTTCACATAAATCTGTTGATTTCTCTTTACTTTTTGTTTGCATTGTAACCATTTATGATCCAAATTAATGGTATTGAGTGTATAAATGAGTATGGTACTATATTTTGTTGATTGGCACATAGTAAATGAAATATGATTCTCATTCAATTTTGCAAGTGCACACTGTATTGAAATTGGTTTTGGCTGTTTGGCCAACTTTCATTTTTCCTTTTCTCATATTATTCAAACTAATATTTTGATTGATCAAAATAAAATTTGTAATATACCGATAGACATTAACATTTGTGTCACTTACAATGTACACTGTCTCCTCAATGCCTTTCTCCTGGACCACTCCTTTGAGCAGCCTTACAAAGTCATTGGCATTGTCACACCTGGCGTACTGTGTGAAACCATTCTCCGGACTGGGCCCAGCCTCGGCTACCTGATTAAGAATCTCTTCAAAGAGCTGCTTCTGACTTTGCCATTCTACACAGTTCACGATAGCTCTCGGGGCAGAGTAAGACTCCAAGATGGAATGGACAACAGCAGACTTTCCCGTTGCAGAATGGCCGTAGACAAAGATAGCTGGACAGGTAGCATGGTTTGGCTGTAGAGTATAGGATAATATTATACACAAGAATAAATTTTATTCAGTCAAAATCGAATTCACTGCAGAACTGAAAGGGGAGTCTCAATGTCTTCCTTTAATTTGATCTTTAAAGGAAAATCTCATCTTAAAAGCACATACTCTAAAAGAAAATGGAAAAATCAGAGAAGCTGACTGGTGAAAGTTTGAATGAAATTTCATGAATTTTCTAAAACCGAACTCTAGGTATGGGCAACTCTAATTGGCTGAATCGGTAATATATATGACAAAGTGCTGGACAACTTTCCCATTGGTTCCAACACACAAAATTACTCAAATGTCAATTTCTCAAATCTATGACACAGGAGTATCTTTTCTTTTTAGACAACAACTTTAAGATGCCACCCACAATATCTTTTGAGTGGCACATACCACTGTCTCTTGTTAGCTCACTAATGATTGACAGATGTCACAAGATGAATGAGATCTGGAGCATTTTTTTAAGGGTGGAGCTAAGCAGGTCTGAGAAAATTATTTTAAAAATAATCAAAGCTATGAAATATATTTAGATGTTTGAATAACAAAATGACAACAGAAATCAACTTATATTTGGATGTCACCTAACTATTTATTTCAAACTTTCTCCATTTTGTTTCCTTCGTTTTTTTTCACTTTCATAAAAGTGAAATTATTACAACGGTTGGATTGCCCAACAAAGTAATTATTTCCTTGGTAAATGCTATACAGCAAAAGAAAAAGAAAATAATATAATACATAGCTAATGGTAACAACATCATTAAATCATCAAATCATTGTCGTCCCAGTCCACCCACTCTCGCAACCCCAACATGTGCACCATCTCCAATTGGCAAGAAGTGGTAAGTTTATATACAAAATATTAAATAACTGATGCTGTGCAAAGCAGCACTATACCTGGCCTGCAAGTGATAACAGCAATGCAATCTGCTTCCCTCTGCATGGCAACTGCTCCTCCAGTTCATTGGCAAGAACTTTTGCATCAACACTTTTTGCTTTCCTCCTTGGAGCCATTCCTGTAGAATAAAACAAGATTAAATAAAAGGGGCAAAGAGTTAAGCACCCAGCAATGTTGTTATTGCCCTCATTTGTAATGCTGCTGTAGGGTAGAGTATGCAGCTAAGGCAAGGCGTGGCTCTTACTTGCAAAGAACAAGAAATGCACATCTTCACTCCTTGCTTGCCTGGGAGGAACTGCCCAAGATTATGCATGCTTCCCAACCTCAGGGATTTTTTTTTGCATATGTTTACATGAACATTTGTATTACAACTGTAAATAATAAGTATTCAAATAACAGAGCTTGTATTAATGAAAGGAGGTAGTCTACATAAATACACAGAGATCTATGTGTGCATATAAATGAGGCTGCCTTAACCAATCACACTGGGGTGGAAAGAACAAATCTACTGAACCATGGGCCTGGGATGAACATGCAAGGAGGAACAAAGGGAGAGACAGAGAGTGAACATAGCACGTGAGAAGATAAAGGAAATGGTGATGTTGGTAGAATGTGATGGAAAGAATGAAATGGACTTTGAATGATAAAGGGATACAAATACTGAAATACCGGTAGACAGATGGGAAGATAGTATGCTTACATACATGACTACCTACAGGCTACAGTACAATGCATATGTTCTGTTCAAAATACGCTGTACACTGTGTTTGTGAATCGTGAGACTTATGCTAAGGTCACAAATCTGAGCAGCGACCGACCGATCAGTAGCCTGCTCGGTCGCTGCTGGAATTTAGGCATCGCCCAGCAATTAGGTCGGTGCCGGCCGGCGACCGCCCAGGCACCGAGCGTATTTTGGACGGCGAGTGAAAAGTGAGCAGGCGCCGCCCAAATTTTAACTCCGCGCTAAAACTTCAGCGGCGACCGAGCGATGCCCTAAAAACGAGCGATGCCTGGGCGGCCGCCGCTCGGTGGCCGAGCGGCCGCCGGGCAGAATTGGTTAAAAACTCGCCGCTCGGCCGCCGAGCAGGCAACTTTTTGGTAATGTGACCATAGCATTAAGTTCAGAACTGAAATTCAAAAGGCTTCATCATGATTGAGGTTTGGTGTTCGGACAGCGTCTTATTTTTTCGTACTCAAGTGAGCACAGATTTCAGTATGAACTCTTTTCCTTACATAACAAGCCTCAAAAGCTTGCAAAGAGGTCACAAATAATTAGATTTTGATTATTTATTGCTTTGCCTCACAATTTATAAAGCCTTATGCTTATGAAGAAAAGTAACTGAATAAATACCAGGGCTGTCAACCCTCCCGCATTTGGAGAGTCTCACGCCACCAGCTCGTAGCAGGAGACTAACCCTGTAAGTTGGGGCTCTGATCGGATCGGAAGATCGGAGCGACACCCTCGCACCTTTGATCTGTATCGGATCGGAAGATCGACAAAAAAAATCGGCCAATTTTCTTCTTTTTTTTAAATGACAAAAATTTTTGGGCTATCAAATGCTCAAAAAAATTAATGGCTGGAAATATTTTGTCATTTGGAGTTGTTGTAGACCATGTTTGTTGATATTTGGTGCCTTTTCATGACTTTGAAATTAGTAATATTGGTCTAAGAGCAGAGGCAATACATGCGGGCCGCCATTTGGATTATAATGTAGATATGCATTATAATCCAAGATGGTGGCCCGCATGTTTTGCCCCTGCTCTTAGACCAATATTATTAATTTCAAAGTCATGAAAAGGCAGTAAATATCAACAAACATGGTCTACAACAACTCTAAATGACAAAATAATCCCAGCCATTAATTTTTTTTGAGCATTTAATAGCCAAAAACTTAAAAAATTTCGGTATTAAAAAAAAAAAAAAAAAAAAAAATTCTGCCAATTTTTTTCCGATCATTTCAATTGATCAGCGATCGGAAATTATTATCCGATCACCCCTGATCGGATCGGTATCGGCGGCCGATCCGATGATCGTTTACAGGGTTACAGGAGACTCCCGCCACAATGCCCTTCCTCCCGCTCTCCGGCAATCTCCCGGTTTATTAAAAACCTCCCGGCAAACGTGTAAAATGAACCAGCATACCGTTTCATATGTAAACAAAATTTGCGTGTGAAGGAGGGGAAGTAGTGAGCACTTCATAATTTTTTTTATTTTTATTTACTCAATACTGAAATTCAAACCCACATCTCAAAACGATTTATTACTCTGTCCTTACCAATTGAACCAGCCAACGATTGGTTCGTGAAAGGTCGGTTTGCATAATTATTATAACCCTATTAACAACCCTAACGGTTACCATGTGTGCATGCAAGTTTCCTTCGTGAGCTCAATCTGGGCTCGCTATGCCTAGTGTAAAAAATTTAAGACGCGGCGGGACACCAGATCCCCGAGCTACCAAGTGTCACGCATTGTGCGTGACAGTCACTCATCGAGGGCCAAAAAACGCTGTCACGCATGGCACCCACTTTTGTCAGGGCCAAACCGGATTTTCGTCGCGCATCAGGGCAAAACTGGGGAAAAAAGGGGGAAAAACGTAGTAATTGCTACTGCTAGACTACGTACTGGCCGACCGCCTCAGCTAGCTCCTCGCAGGGTTTGTGTACGTACTGTATATCGCATGCACGTAGCATGCATGCAGGCCGGCTATCACGTCACTTCACGTGGCGCGATTTTGGAACGTACACTAGATCTATATACGCTATACCCTCGCCCGCGCACGCATAGCTGATCTTTGAACTTGGGCTTGGCATCTCTGGATCCCCCATCATTCATAATCATACTAGCCTTTAAACAAGGCCACATGTCTGATAGATGCCGAGCGACTAAAAAGAGACTAATCGCGAAAACCTGAGTAAAGGCCAGTGCGAATTGCCCAGACCAGTGGCCTTTATCAATCTGGTTTGGATTTCTTATGTTAACCTTTGTTTCCGACTGGAACTCGCTTCAGAAAAGGTAGTGTCAAATCAGCGAACGTATCTCCGCGTGACGTCAGCTTATATACACACACACACACAGAGTAAACTCTACGTAGTACGAACACGGACCTACTATGAACTATAAGACCACTCCGCACTGACCTCTACATGGAACGAATCACGAACGAAGCCAACTGGGAGATCGCCGTTATGATTGGTCAATAAATCTAAAGTAGGCGTATTGGCATGCTAATACTAGACCCATGTATCTTTGAATAATTCATGCGGAGCAGTGAAACTCACATTCCAAAAGGCCTCGTGACATTCGTCACTCGGTCCCGCATTCACCCCGGGTATCTAGACTCATCTCAGCCGCTTAGCCAGAGTCACGAGGCCTTGTCAAAAGGCTATAATCATACTAGACTCTAGAATCTAGTCTAACTTCATTACAACTTATACAAGTCTAACTTTAGATCTAACTTTAGTTCATTGAAATTCCATTGAGAGTTTGAGACTCTTGTTAATTACAACACATGCGATTCAAGGGAATATCAGTGAACTTGAACTTAGTTATTCAAGTTATAACGGTTTCGTAAAACGATGCCTAGATCTAGAGTAGATCTTTGTTGTGATCAACCTCTAGAATCTAGATCTAGAGCGCGAGCCAGACAGACAGCTCCTGGCAGCTCAGGCGGCCACAGGCCGCGACTATCCTGCTATACTGTCACAGATCTACTGCCACTCCTCAACTTATTTCAACAAGCCTTTTGCGGCACACATCGTCATCATAATATAACTCTCAAGGAAATACAGCTTTACAAAAATTACCTGTAGGTCTAATCAACATCAACCTTGTAAGTGGCACTTGCAATATTTAACCAGCAAAAATCACGTGTCGAGATCGACCATACATGCATCGAATTTTAAAATTATTATGCATGTATGGTGTACGTTGTATGTACACGTGCACAGTACATGTATGCGCGCGCGCGGAGAATGCTTTAATTTTTGTACTTCGCGCGCCCGGCACCGCGCCAGCGGGCCGCTTACGGTACGCGGTAGCGATCGAGTGGGCAGCGTTATTTTTTGGGTGAAGCTTTTCTTCACACACCTATTTTTTTCTGCGGCACAGATTGGGGCATGGCGCGCCTGTTGAGCCTATGGGAAGTTTAGGGTTAGGGTTAAATCAAGACCTCTTTATAAAACAACGCCCCAATCTGTGCCGCAGAAAAAAATGACGCGACCGGGCACCCTAAGCCTTTTTCCACGCCTTCGCTTTCGTGAGCCAGGCCAAGTGGCGGCCGGACCCCTGGGAAAAAAAAGAGGTAACGTTAATTTTACCTTTATTTGGTGACGGGCCCCCTCCCCTGGGCCTCAAGGGGGGGGGGGCGGGGGGTGAGAATTTTCAATTTTCCGGGGCCGCAAAAATGAGTGCTCCTACCCCCCCCCCCCCCCCCCCGGCTCCCCCGCTTATTCATCGGCTGGCTGTTTCGCCGCTCATTTTGTAACGCATTGGGCCCCCTAGAGCCCTTTAATTGGCCCCTCCCTGTCGCCGACTGGATCCGCCCCTGGCCAGGCCCCCCCCCCTTCCAAGTGTAAATCATAAGTTAGAAATTATTGATTGATCAACATTATATCGCATGACCTGTGTATAAAAGAAATGAGGGGGTGGTTAGCTTAAAAGAGAAACTTGACTCGGAGCCTCCATCGCCCCGGCCATAATTTGAGAGGGTCTGGACAATCATGATTTCATCAATTGAATATTGATTTCGATCTCAGAAATTAATAGGCTTGATGAGACCGCCCCGGCTCCGCCCAATAGTGCACATCGGTGCACATCCTATCTGGCACATCAGTTTTTGCCTTATATGTTCCTTATCGAATATAATAGATCCTTTCTGGTGTTGGTTCTATTTTCTAAAAATGCAGGAGCGCTCGAGGTTCTTGAAGAATGAAGACTCAAGCCAAAAAAAAATTTGGCTATGAATCTGTGGGGGCTGGGGATTTCTTACATTCGATCGGAGGGGGGGCCGCGGCGGGCCCGGCTTGATCCCCCTCCCTTCCCTGCCCAGTGGTGTAATGAGCAGTGCACAATGAGAGGGGCAGAACAAGTCTGCATCATAAAAAGTACAATTGCCAACTATAGCTATAGGAGAAAAAGACCCCGGAAAATCATGTCATTTCATAAATAATTGTAAATCAGTAAACCACGTTTGAATTTTACTGGGGGGGGGGGGCAACAAGCAAAATTGATATATAGTCCACTTTTTATCCACCAGCCTCTTCTAGTATTTAAAATTACAAATCGCACACAGATGTGTTTTTTTCTTTTTTCAAATAAGCTATTGCATGATTTTTGTTATTTATTTACTGCACGATTTATCACAAGATATATTGTATTTTTATAGATCTTCCGCCCTATATACATGAGCGCAAATCCTTCCATCATAATGATTCTCTTTACATTGTGATGCGATCTGACTTTGAAGAGGAGGTCACTGCGTTCTCGAGTCAGGTCCTCGTAAATGAAGATGTTGGTTCCTTTGTATCGTTCTCGACTCTTAATCCTTGCGAATTCAGTCCCCCGCCGCCGCCCCGCCCCCCCCCCCCCTCCCGCGCAAAGCGCGGAAGCTTTGACGTTTAACTAAATTATTAGAGAAAGAAGACAATTAATTAATTGTACTGTTCTCGACTTTTAACCATTGTCTGAATTCAGTTTTCCCCCTGGCTTTGAAGTTTCATTGAATTATTAGAGAAAGAAGACGATTCGTATCAATGTACCGTTCTCGATTTTTAAGCCTCGTCTGAATCAACGGTGTCGATTTGTATTCGTGGTTGTGGGGATGATTGGTGCCAAAATATTTTCGACAATGGATCAAAGCAACCAAGAGGTTGAAGCAGGCGCGAATCCAGGATATAAATAAACAAAGAAATGGATGAAATCAATAAAACAAAATCAGAACTAGGGAACAAACTGAAAGTTTCGTCTCCTACATGGTGCCATTTGGACAAAACCGTCTTTCTCTTCAATGATTCAATATTTTATCACTTTACTTGCATTATGAAAAAAACGCATCATCAACCCCATATAGTCATATAGCTTTAAATATCACTTCAGATTGAACTGGCCAAAAGTCATGTGATATTCTTGTCTCATATACGGTGTCTTATTTACTTCGTTTTCTGTATTATGAAAATGAGATAGAAAAATGTGTATTGATGGTCATCTTGCGAGTAATAACCATTAACTACTCTCATCGGGCTCTCATCATTAATTTTTCTCTTCATTTTTTGTTTTAATGGTGAATTTTTTGGGGGTGATTGTACAGGCCATCCCCCAATCTGAAATATAGGGGGGGATATATCCCCATCCCCCCCCCCCCGGGATCAACACCCATGGTCTGAATTCAATATCCCCTCCTGCGCAAAGCGCGGAGGCTTCAACGTTTCAGTAAAGTGACTCGGTTACATTGTTGAAGGTTGATGAACAAATTGCTTAATTTGTGTATAAAATGTTACTTACTATATTCCTTTTACTGTACTAACCCTCTGACATGCAAAAAATCCTGAACTATCATGCTCAAACCACGAAGATATATATGGTTTTCTCTGAAGACCGTTTTTCCATGAAAAAAAAAGACATAAAACAGGCTATACAAAATCTGTCAATACTTAAATGTCTGGAATGTAATGTAGAGCCAATTAATTGCTTTGTGACGATTTTCATTCACCTAAAATGTAATTAAATTGTAATAATATAGTTGGGAGAATTAAGGAATCGATCAGATCAGTTTTTCCCAATTTGTACCATGAATAATGGTCCGTTTTCACTCAAATTTTCGAATTATCTTTAATTGTACATCTAGCATTGAAGTCACTACCTTAGCACCACTATCTCTCATCTGAACAATGTTACCAAGTCCCTTTAAATAATTAGAGAAAGAAGACGGTTCGTTGTACCGTTCACGACTCTTAATCTTTGTCTGAATTTTTTTCCTCTATATCTGCTCCTTTTTCTTCCTATACGTCCCTATGTTAGAGTAAAATTAAATTGCTTAATTTTATTAATCGATATTTGATTCAATCTAAATAACAAAACATCATTCCATATAAAGTCCTCTGGTAATGCAAAATAGGCTTGCCAATAAATGAGAAATAGTGGCTTCGGTTGTTTCATTTTTATTCTTGCTTTCAAAGAATGTATATCTATCGAATTTCCTGCTGATATTTCAAACACTTATTTGCGGTAACAGGCGCCTATATATACGCAGGGGGGGGGGGGTCTGGGGTTACCCCCCTTTTTTTCTTTTTTTTATATTTAAAAATAAAAAAGTAAAAAGTGATAATGGGTGACCCCTTAAAAACCGACCCTACCCCCCCCCCCCCCCACCAAGGCCGATCGGCCAAATTTTAACTTTTTAATTTCCCACTTGAACGAGTAAACTCGCCCTTGTTACCCAGCGGCGAGTGGGGATGAATGGAACTGGACGACCCCAGTTTTGAGCTGTTTAACATCGGGGTGCATGTGCAATGGGGCAGGCGCGGATCCAGGATTTCTTAGGGGGGCCCAATTTTTTTTTTTTTTTTTTTTTTTGCTCCCGAAAATTTGAAAATCGCGGCGGCCGAAAAGTCGCTAAGTGTGTTGGGGGGGGGGGGGGGTAGTGAGCATATTTTTTGGGGGGCCTCGAAAATTTGAAAAATTGCACCCTCCCCCCCCCCCCCCCCTTGAGCGCCAGGGGGGGGGGGGGGACATCCCCCCAAAAAAGGTAACAAAATCACGTGTTTTGAAACATTTTTTCCCAGGCCCCCCCCCCCCCCCTCCCTGGATCCGCCACTGGGGTGGGGTGTTTTTTTTTACCTTTGACAAATTTAGGGGGTTCGATCGAGCCCCAGAACCCCCCCCCCCCCCCCCCCCCCCCCCCCCCACTGGTTACGGGCATGACTAGAAACAGTTCTAGACTATACTTTCAAGTGTTCATTACTATATCAAGTATCATAACATGGGGACCAAGAGCTTTGTCCCGAGCTCGAGCTCAAATATACTGCACATAAAATTAAGGAAAAGCGGAAATTATAGCGAGTTCGTGTAGCGTTTATGTGGCTCCAGTACCAACGAACTCCACCGACCGCACACAAATTGAGCAGTTTAGAGATCGCCCATCCCCTCATAAACACACGCGCCGCACGTATATATCTCCGTGCTCGCGCGCTCTATTACTCAAATTTTTATATGCGGAAGAAATTGCACGGAATATTCGTTTCTCAGAATTTCCTACTCAGAAATCGAGTTGTCAAGAATCAAGACTCGCTGTTGATTGACGCAACCCTTTTTTAGGTAAATATCAAGGTGAGAATCAGGCGTCCTTTCGGTTACATGTAGTGCTAAGTAGAAAGTTAGCCAAAACTATAATTAGACTCAAGATCTAACTTAGCTCTAGATCTAGTAAATAATGTTAATTGTTATCGGGTTATCCATCTGTGTGAGTGTATCTAGTCTGCATAGACAATCACTGACAATCACAAGGTAAACTCACAGGCATACATGAGTGGCATTATATTAGTGCTTAATTATAGAGTCTACACAGACTAGACACGCAGTGACATGCATGACAGCATGTGACACACACTGAGTGATTTCAAGTTCAGTGTTGACTTGAAAAGCTGGTGAGTGGTGTTGTGAGAACACCAACACCAGCCACAACACCGAACTTGAAATCAGACTGGTGTTGGGATTGACCTCAGGAAATATGACGTATTTCCGCTAGTCTGTGACTGTGTTGAGGCTGGTGTTGAATGTCGTCTGCTGAACCGAATAGACCTAGATCTAGAGTAGAGTCTCCAGTTTGCGGCATCGCCCGGTTTGCGGCCAGGGGTATTTGTTTCAAAAATAAAATGAATATGACTCTATAATAATCATTGAAACCTACCGTGGATTCCACGGTAAGTTCTGCTTTGCCGAAAACGTCCGTAGCAGGTGCTCCTGTCGGTACGGAGTATCCGTCAGCGATGTCGGAAATCTACGGCACCAGTCGCCGATGAAAATTCCAGCAGGTGCTAACTTTTAAGTTAAGAATAAGAGATGGAGGCATGACTAGATCAATATTGTAGCTATATTTGTCCGATTGGAGGTTAAATTTGATGTTTTTGTGGAAGTATGATGACTGTGGTCTGTCTCCTATTGCAGATATTTTGATTGTGCCACCGCATGGCCAGTTGCATGGGGTGGCCGCAAACCGGCACGTAATTACGTGTTTTTCTGGTTTGCGGCGGGGGGTGTTAATACACACATAACATGCGGGATCGTGTATGATGGTATGTGTGCTGATGTGTGTACACGCTATGACCCGATAGTTTCTAGTAGTACGTACCCCCGTATGGGATGATCCATTCGAGGAAAAGGTGAAATTGTTTAAAACTTGACAAATTTACCGTAGCAACAGATAAACATGAGAATTTGGGTTACCCGTAGTAATTTGGTACATGCTTTCATCGTGACGTAGCGCATAAAGCTTTGTGACGTACGCGTGCCGCAAACCGGTAATGCGTGCCCGCAAACCGGGGAACTCGAAGCATTTCGAAACGTGGTCAATACTGACCACGCTGTGGGTCAGTTAGGTTATTTGTGACTTCTATTTAATAAGTAAGTATATGGACTCTTTATTGAGGGTATTGAAGTATTCTGTGAGTATTCCAATAAAAATAGAATCGGCAGTTCCCGCCGATCGGCCGCAGACCGGAGCCACTACTCTAGGCCTACCGCGGTTGGTTTTGGGTTGGTTTTGACGATTTACGTGTTATTTTCCCATTCACCAACACAAGCCCCTAGGGATTGGGAAATTCATGATTACAAGGATAAACGGATAAACGTTGATATTAGTATAGACTCTACACTTTTTCATGAAGATCTGAGACATTACGGTAGATAACTTCACACTTGCGCGCGCCCGCCTGCAACCCACCATCGGTACTAGTACTTGTATTGTGCAGCGGTTTACCATGAAACCTGTGACAAAGTATATACTAATAATCAACGTTAAGGTCTATCCCAAAAATACTCCAAAAATAACAAAAAAATTGACACGAAACCGGTAATAAACATAACGACTTTTAACTCATGATCTTTATTTGGACATTTAATGAATATTCACTTCATTTTGGGTATGTTTTAGTAGGGTATATCCACGCCAGAGTTACGGGTCAAATTTTGGATAGGTTTCAGAACAAGCGCCGAATATTCATGATATAGATCTAGATAATAGAGCGCCGTTCGCTCAAAATTGCTGAATATGCACGAGGTTGAGGAGGGCTCTTTTTCTTTGATTCATGCGTAAAGGTGTGATGCACTCGGTGTTAAGCTATCGATATCGTGACTATCGTCCTTCTAAAGTGACCACCTGTGTTGGAGCTTTGTTCAGCTTTCAGCAGCCTTTCCATGCTCTCAACAGTACACCAACACCCAACACCATACTTGAACTCAACTCACCAATCCTTTCATTTAAAAAAAAAATGTATGTCTGGATAGGTTGGGTATCCATTTCAAACGATATTAGCAAATTTGATTAGAGCAAACAACAATGTCAATGTCACCAATATCTTGGTTTGCTCTTATGAGAATTGCCATTGCATACAGGTAGTGAAAATGTAATACAAATATTGCTTAGTATATGAATATTGTTTATTTTTTCTTCAGAATAAGTTTCAATTTAATTCAATTATGTTATTTAATATACACAAGACTATATCATTGTTATAACTTCCGGAGCCTATGACCTACAAGCATTGCTTTCTCTTTAGGCTCCATCATATTTATTCCTTTATACAACTAAGTCTTGGGTATTACCGGTATTCTTTTTGTTTGTATAAACGCATCTTAAAATGAGTACAAAAATGTAACATGCCAAATGTATACATGTACAACATGTGAAATATGAAACTAAACTGAAACTGAAACTGAAGAGTTGATGGCATCATGGCAGTCACACTGCCATGACTGTAGGCCTGCAAAATGAAAGTAAAAGGAAAGTGCTTGACATGGTTGTGGGCACGACGTACACATACCCAACTTGTCCATACAGTACATGTATGCTACTTTACATGCATGTACTTGTGTTTATAATGAAATATTCAAACCTCTAAAGTGTGAATGTATTTTTGTTTTACCAAAGTGTGTTCAACTGTTCATGTAGCTTTTAAGTGTGCATTAGACTGAAAATTTTAGTTTGAAGGGAAAACATTACCGGATGTTATCTTGCATACATGTAGATTTATTGTTATTAACAGTTTATTTAATACTTTCTGAAGGAAAGCAGTGAATATGCCAAAAGTGTTTTTTGTGTTTGGTTGTTTGCACCTACTCTTAGTAAGTAAGTCTTAGGTGTACATTGTAGTTAATCCCCCTCAATATCTCACTGAATGCCAAGACAAGCATGGACTATGCAATGTACATGCACAGATGTACTTGGCATGAAGGGACTTTTACAGGCAATGATTAAAATAGGATAGATGCAGATTTATTTCAGCTAATCTTAGTTGTATGAAGGAACTTATATTTAATCACAACTTTATCTGCAAGTCGCCCCTGATGGTGTACTGTACATAAACATAAAAATGTACATGTGCGCTTCACTTAGAGGACCTTGTTATCCTGTTGGAGTATGTACAGTTTTTTATTAAATATCAACCCTTTATATTATATTTACAGTTTGTATACAGTGACGAACCAGGTGACCCAGTATGGCTGAGCCGTCAGCTCCTCCCAGCTATATGGAGGCTACTACTGACCAGCAATACCCCCCTGGACAGCCCGGAGTAGCCCCTTACCCACCTGCACAAGGTGCTCCTTACCAGGTGAGTTCAAAATTAGCCAAAAGGGGGTTCTGTTTTTAATGTACACACAGGCCAAATTCTATGGTATAACAGTCAAATCTACTCCTACCTACGCCTGCCCCTGAAATCTCCCCCCCCCCCCCCCCCCCCCCCATCAAATCAAAAGAGTGATAAGTTACATCACTGTCTCACTAACAATATGAGTTTGTATTTGATTCAGTGTCTGGTGAAAAATTATTCTTACTTACTTGTTTACTTTGTCTGCAAGGCTTGAAGTTTCAGCTTATGTGCCCCTCTTTACTGCATTGGATTCGCGTTGGTATGGGTAGTATTTCAGCGGATGGTGCTTCCAATGATTTTCAAGTTCTGACTTGAACTTATTGATTGATGAGGCATTTATGGCAATTTCAGGAAGGTTATTCCAATTATTTATGTTCTGCACTGAAAATGACATCTGCCTCATCTTAGATTTGCAGTGGGGCTTCCTTATTTTGAGCCTGTGTCCCCTTCTTCTGGATTCTTCGATGATTTCAAACATATCATTCCTCTCTACTGCCTCAAATCCATGCATGATCTTATATTCATTCATATAAGTTAAGAATAAATACATGCACTGCCGTGAATTACTAGTCATTTGCAGGTACACATTATGTAAGTATTCACTATTGATTTTAATGCCACTGTAACAAAGAGAAACAATAATATTTGGGGATTGTATGAATTTCATTTAGAGTAGAGTGTGTTTTATTGTATCTCATTACAGTTGTCTCAGCCTGTATGATCGAGACTGTTTATCCATGCATTCATTTCACTTGGCAGCATTAAAAGCAATAGGAAAGTTGAAAACGGGAAGATACATGCTTACAAAGGAAACAGCATCAAAATAGAATGCAGATAACTATCATGCTGGAGTAGGGAGCAGTAAAAAATGGAAAGGGGTCCTTATATGAGGCTGACCTAGAAAGCTCAGATAATCAATATAGTACTTTTTTTTTAAATATCATCATTCACCATTTCAATATATTGGATGTATATCATTAGATGGTTCAATCTACCCACAATCTGTTGCTTTTCTTTTTCATCAAGCCTTATTTTATGAGATATTGTTTCAAATCCTGAACTTTTTGTGAACATTGTATCCATACAGGCCGCTCCATACCCACCAGCTGGGCAGCCCTACCCACCTGCTGAGGGTGCAGCCTACCCACCACAAACGGGAGGTACAGCTTATCCACCACCAGCAGGAGGTACAGCTTATCCACCACCAGCAGGCCAGCCTTACCCTCCACCCTCTGGACCACCACCACAGCAAGCAGGGTACCAGAGTGCACCTCCACCAGCCAGTTACGGTAAGTGGTTGATACGTGGGTAGAAAGTGATAAGATATTGGTATTCTGTAATTTTTGTGATTTATTTTCATTGCAACAAATTAGAGTTGATTGTATTACCTAGTTGGAGATGAAATGGAAACAGCCAGAGAGTGATTTGATGCTACTTGCATTTTTATTATTGTGCATGACCAATAAATTGAACAATACTAAACTAAACTAAACTAAACTAAGCTACCGGTAAACTAAACTAAACTAAAATAAACTAAACTAAACTAAGCTAAACGAAACTAGACATGAACAACTTTTGCTGAGATATTTACTTGATTATATAAGCACGATTGCTATCGATGGCATGTTTATTCAGAAAATGAAAACAGGTTGAGTAAATATTGACATGAAATATGTACGGAAAATAAAATAAGTTCCCCCACACAATAATCTGCATGTAAATTAAATCTGTTGGTTTATTTCGACTACTTATAACGTTTACATGTACTTAGTCTTGATCTGGTGCTGCGTCTCCCAAAGGGACGTTTCTTTCGATTTCAACTTCTATGTTTTATTGCCCATAATGAAAACTGATATTGTTTCAGTTTAAATCTAATATACATAGATAGGGACACTGACTTTCCGTGATCACAGAAAACGGACAGAATTCACAGAAATAACCATTTGAAACGAAAAATGCAATTTCGAACGGAAAGTCGCGAAAAACCCCTTTCATCTCAAAACTTTTCATTTTTCAAGAAGAAAATCGTAAAATTTACACTATTTTTGGTGATTTGTTATGCAGTGAAAAAATATCGGGCCTAAAATCATGGTTAATAACTCTGAATATTTAGCGATATTCGTCAGATTCTTAGGAGACAGGGCGCTGCCATTTTGTTTCGCTGGACCAATAGAGATCGTGACACAAAACACAGTACAAATAGCAGTGAATCGATCCTATTATGCCAGCTAGGCACACACATGCCAGCAGCAGGCGCTAAGTGCGGCGAGATTGTACACACGCTGTTGTACAGTTCGAAAAAGGGGCTGACATGTGCGCCTAAAATGGATCAATTTCTGACATGACAGCCAAGACTGAAATGTTTTTGTCCACGTCGGTACTACTCAGCCTGTATCTGTATCGTTCCGTCAGGAATATGTCGTGTTCTGACACATTCCGCTAACTTTAGTCTGTGTGTCTAAGTTCAAATTTGAGGTTGGTACATCTAAACTTTTGATAATTTTTTGTATATTTTCACTAGTATTTTGCATCAAGTTTATCCAGTCCCGTCCGTATGTTTTTGTCTCGCCTGCGTAGCAAAAAGCGACTCAAGACATAGGCGCCACTTTTCCGGTGACGGTGACGGCGACGGCGGCGGCGTCAACATCTTTTTTAATATAATTTTGAAAGTATAAGTTCTTATTCAATAAAACTTAGACTAGAGGGTTATCAAGTATCCCCAATCATGTGAGTAGAATTTCAGGTCACTTAGTTAAGGTCAAAGGTCATTTCAGGTCAACAAACTTATACTATGTTGTAGTATCAACATCAAAACTTAACAAAAGGTTACAATTTTGAATTTTTATCATAATTTTGAAAGTATACATTCCTATTCCATGAAACTTGAACATAGGGGTTATCAAGTATCATCAATCATTTGATTAGTCATTTAGGTAACAAAGTCAAGGTCAAAGGTAATTTAAGGTCTGCAAACTTAGACTTTGTTGTGGTATCAACCTCAAGATTTTTAATTTTTAGCATAATTTTAAAAGCGTTTGTTCAAATTCCATGAACCTTGTACACAAGGGTTATCAAGTATCACAAATCATATAACGCAAATTCCAGGTCAAAGGTCATTTTTGGTCAGTAGACTTGGATTATGTTTTCACAACTTAATATGAGAATTGATAAATCAATTTTTATTATTTGTTCATATTCCATTAAAGTTATCGATCTTGGTACAAACTATAGTAAATAATTTTCCTGATGATTCTTAGCCAATACTCACTTCAATTTTTTTTTTTTTTTTTTTTTTTTTGGTAGGGGGGGGGGGGCTGCTAATGGGCCACCCTGTCAATAAATAATATCCCAACCTCAATTTTTCATCATATCGAATTGCATAATGCAGGTGAGACCGCCGAGAGCGTTTCCCTTGTTGAGTGGTTATCAGTGGCAAAACAGAATTTCACGGAATTCCAGATTTTCTGAAACGGAAAAAGCCATTTTTTTTTAACGGAAAATCAGTGTCCCTACATAGAGAATGTACAAAATAGATGTAAATATGATAATGAATAACACAAGGAACTATTTTACATAATCATTGAATAAATATTATTTAATGATGAGTGCAGAGCACGGTAATTCCCAGATCAGCCTGGATGATTCGTGTCAAGGGATTCTTATTTTATGAACATGCATATTTGTTTTTGGAATGGATTAGCTGCATTGTTTTAATCTCATTTTTCTTACAAGGAGGAGGAGGAGGAAATCCCCATGGTGATGTGGAGGAAGGCTTCACAGCTGAAAGGGGTTTCAACAACAAATCCATTCGAGCTGCTTTCATCAAGAAGGTGAGTAGAGTTCATGTGTGATAGTGATGGTGGTGGTTATTTACCTGACTGCTAAGATGTAAGTAAGCAACCAGACGGCCGACGGCTTTAGGTCCTTTCCGAGGGACCTGGTAATAAGGATTAATGTTTTACCAAAAGCGCACTAGCGCATCGACTTGGTTTCGAACCCGGGTCACCGGTTTACGAGACCACTGCTCTACCGAATGAGCTATCACGCCTCCCTGATATATGTGATATTTCATCAAATAAATCTGTAATCATGGTTCGATTGTGACCTTCAGTTTCTGATTCTTAGAATCATGAATATTTTCTGTCACGTATTAAGATTGTTGATAGGAGTAAAATAAACTCTTCCTTTTTAGGTGCAGTATTTTGAGTGTTAATTAAACATTTGTCAGCAGGGGCTGTTATAGTTAAAATCATTCAGGAATTTATGACATATTTTTTTGATTCTTCATTGTTACTTTCTTCCCAAAATTATTGATTAATCATGTATATAATTCTGTTACAAATTTGTATTTCCATATATTTTACAATCATTGTTACTCTTCATGTATACCCCAACTGGTTGCAATTACTGTTCCCCTAACTGGCTAATCCCACTGTTATTTTTTTTCAGGTATACTTTATCCTCTTCATTCAGTTGTTGGCGACCTTTGGAATTATCTGCGTCTTCGTTTATGTGTAAGTTTTTTATACCAGCCACTTAACATTAAAATGTGTGTATGTATACCAGTAATTCTATGATCATTGTAAAACCATAATTACTTTATTGGCAGTATACATGTGGGTAATATAGGAAAATAGCTTAGGCCTTGACAGTATATTAAAGCATGGACCTACTACGAATAGTCATTCAACAACGACGAGAGTAGTAAAATAATGATAGCTATCACCTGTTCTTATGTCTTACTTCCTATATGTTTTAAGTTTGAACGCTGCAGGCATGTTTTGATAAGCTCGGATGAGGGGCCTTTGTTCCAACGAGAACAGCCAAACTTTTGTCATGTATGTATCTTGCAGAGCCAATGAACTGATTAGATTTTAGGGTCATGAGGTCAAAGTTCAAAGGGTCATACATGTGTATGAAACATAGCTTGTAATCATGATATTCTAAAAACCTGTTACTGGATAACAATGTAAACTAGAGTATTAAGTCAACAGTTGTGCCCTTAAAACTTCCTTTGTTTTCTCCATCTCTCTCATATTCTACCTCTCTCTTTTTCCAAAATGCAGAGAGCCTGTGAATTCATATGTGAGGACTAACAGTTGGCTGTACTGGTGCTCTTAGTAAGTATACTTTCAGTGGTGTAGCAAGATTTGTCGCAATCTTGGCTTTTTAATGTATCAGTCTTGGTCTCGACCCCAAAACAATATACTGCATTTTTTCAACTTTTGTTTGTTTTCGTAAAGAAATACATTGTCTGTCATTGTTTTGGACTGTCTTTGTTCTGTCTGTTTTCTGAAATTGAACTTGCTATTGCTTTCAGACAGAATTTTGTCGATTTTTTTCCTCAGATAATTACATATTAAAACTACTTTTTTTAAATTCTTTTGCAATATTTTTCTTGTTTGGGAGCAAACAAGTCCCACTACAGCACTAATGTCCTTTGGCAAGACATTGATCTACATTTGCCACTCTCCACCCAGGTGTTAAATGGGTACCCGGTAGGACGCGAAAGCTAATGTGCTTAGATTAGCAACTGTGCGCTTGTAAAATAAAATGACGCCTGGCTGGAATACTCCCCAGGGAGTGGAGAATGGGCATACATTATGTGCGGGTATGCCTGAATCCGATGACCGGGGTAATATGATTGCAGGGCCCTCAGGGAAAACAGTATAAATACTGATGAGGCAACCCTGGGTAAATAAGACATATTATTATTATTAACATGCTGTATATAATCTTACACATTTAAAATAATGACCAAGTCTTATCCACTAGTTACTAGTTAGCATTGCTGGTGTGGCAGCGCACTCCAGCACTCCAGTTGTTAGCCTGATTGATCTGAATATATAACTACTGTATTCTTCTCTTTCTTTTTTTGATATAAAGATTTTTTGTTTTTTTGTTTGTTTGTTTTTTGTTCGTCTGGTGATCCCCTCCTAACAAGCCTGTTGTTTTCTTCATTTCTTTGTATTTATTTGTATTACTAGCTCATATGTATGTATTACTCTGTTATCAAATATATTGATTTAAACATGAAATAATGCATGACATACTGTTAAGTTGTTTTATTTTTTTTTATTGTACATATTGGAAGAAATATATGAAAGCTATATGCTCTCTCAATCAATATTAAAAGATTAGTCCTGTCATATGCAGGATGAGCATACATTATTCATGTTTTTATTTTGTTTTTGTCTATTTTGATAACCCTGCAGCGCTCTGTTCCTGGCTATGTACATTGTCCTTGCGTGCTGCCCTACCGTTCGTAGGAAGTATCCTGGAAATGTTGTTGCACTGGCAGTGTTTGTGAGTTTCTTATTTATTCTCTTCTCTCAGTTTTTCTCATATGTTAATCTTTCAACCATCTTAAGTAAAAGGGTACTGGATTTTCAGCAATTTCATTTCAAGTTTGGAAATATTAAACGTATAATAACCTATGAAGTCATTTTGATTTAGGTATTTGTGTTTTTTGCATCTTTTTCTTTCAAAAGAATTTCAAGACTGACCTGGTCGTTGAGGTGAAACGACTGATTTAATTAAGGGCAAATGTTTGAATACCACATAGAGATGAAGTATTTGTATGATGTCATGATATAACTTTTGACTGAACCATATCAGAATTAGGAACTGGTTCATTTATAAATGAAATACATATAGCACTTTTAATGTGCATAATTTTGATACCAATATATCTTATTATTCTTTCCTTGTCCTTACTCTCTATTTATCATTTGACTCTTTAGACCCTCTGTCTATCTTACATGGCTGGAACAATTTCAAGGTAAGAATATGTTATGTAATCCTATATGTTAATTTCACGATATTGCTGAACTCGCATTGAGTACAAAAGCAGAAATATACAATGTATGTTTACCAGTACTGGAATATTTTGTGGCAAAGCCAATTTGTTAAAGAAAAATCACCATATACAATACCAGGGAGTTGTTTCACAAAGACTAAGACCAACTTTAAGTTAGACTTAACTATGGCAGGCATTCATGCCTCTGGTTGCTCCCATCATTGGTCTCTCAATTATGATCTTTAAATAACATCTTTTCCTTCAATAATGAATTATCAAAAAAGGTAAATTCTATAGATTTGGGAAATCAGTGCCAGGAATGCTCAGAGGAACTAGTGGCATGAACAGCCTGCCATAGTTGAGTCCAACTTAAAGTCGATCTTAGTCTCTGTGAAACACCCCCCCAGACAATGTGATTAGAATATGTGTGTACTTTATTGTTTCTCTATTTGGCCTGTGGAAAGTGTAGATTGCCTAAGGAGCAATGTTTTAGACTAAAACTTGCACAAGTAGTAAGAGATTCTCTGATGTAATGAATAAAAGAGCTTGAAAGTTTTTTTTATTTTTAAGATTTTAATTTTAGGAAGCCATGTTTTCACATCCATGTTTATTCATTCCTTTGTTATTATAGCTACTATGGGGACAATGCTGGTCAGTCAGTCTTGGTCTGTATGGGTATCTGTGCGGTGAGTACATCTTTCTCTCCAAGGTTATTCCAAAGTCAAGAGTATTTCTGTATCTGTGATTGTATCATGTAGAAGTCAAACCAGAGCATTATAAAATCATTTATATACAGTGTGTACCTCTCTTTAGTATGTTGAATAAATCTCTCCACCCAGGTGTTAAATGGGTACCCGGTAGGATGCGAAAGCTAATGTGGTTAGATTAGCAAGTGTGCGCTTGGAAAAAGACGCCTGGCTGGAATGCTCCCCAGGGAGTGGAGAATGTGCATACATTGTGTGCTGGTAAGCGTGAATCCTATGACCGGGGTAATAATCTGTAAAGCGCTCTGAGAGGGCCTTCGGTCCTGAAAAGCGCTATATAAGAACTAGCTATTATTATTATTATTATTAGTCGTCTAATTGGTCAAAATTGTCATTTCCTGAGTGTAAATATTTAACTCACAGCATTAAAAGAGTACCTTGCATAATTTCCAGTGAATATGATACTAATCTTTGACTATGTTTTTGTTTGTTCACTTGCAGGGAGTGACCCTTGGTGTGAGCCTGTTTGCCATCCAGACCCGGTTTGATTTCACCTCCTGTGGGGGGTTTCTCTTTGTGTTCAGTCTCTCTCTATTCCTCTTTGGGTTCATTGCCATCTTCACTCGCAGCAGTGTAAGTCATTTTCCTCTTCTTCTTACAGGTACTATGTCCCATTTGCAGGCCAAAAAATGAAAAGGTTAAATTTCAACGGCATTTGAAAGATGATACTAATGTAGAACTTCCTTTAAAAAAAGGGGGCTTGAAAATGTCTTTAAGTGGGGAAATAACGACTATTAGTTGTCAAATTGATTTAAGAGCTATAGAGCCAGTAAGTAATAGACTGATTTTATGCTGCACAAAGATTCAATCAGTTTAATTATGGCCATTACAAGAAGTGGGTTATTGATGTTGACAAATGCTCATGTACCCTTTACAGCTCATTTTATGTATGTTATTACCAAAGAAGAAAAAAATCCAGTCAGTCACTCAATAGTGTCTGACAGTGAAGTCTAGCAAGTAAACTGGTTTCCTTGCATAATTTGAATATTAGGACACTGCTAACGTTTAAATTTCACAGATAGGACATACATGACATATTCATAGTTCCTGCAAAGTTCTACAGAATTTGATGTTGGCTGCAAAAGGGACATAGTATCTTTATAGTGACTCGGTAACTTTGTTGAAGCTGGATGAAAAAATTGTGTCATTTTTGTATGAAATGTTACCTTTTATATTCCTTCTACTGTACTAACCCTCTAATATGCAAAAAAAATCCTGAAAAAATTCTCAAGCCACAAAGAAATTTATGGTTTTCTTTGAAGGTGTCACTGTACATCACCCTTTTTAACATTAAATTCTCTCAACCATTTTTGAATTTTCCCAACCATTTTTCCATGAAAATAAGACATAAGACAGGCTTTTAAAAATCTGTCAACACTTAAATGTCTGGAATGGCATATAGAGCCAATTCATTGCCTTGTGACGATTTACATTCACCTAAAATGTAATTAAATTGTAATATTATAGTTGGGAGAATTAAGGAATCGATCAGGTCAGATTTTCCCAATTTTTATCATTAATAATGGTTTGTTTTCACTCAGACTTTCAGATGATCTTTAATCGTACATCTAGCATTGAAGTCACTACCTTGGCACCATTTTCTCTCATCTTAACAATGTTACCAAGTCCCTTTAAAGTGTGTTCTTGAAAGATGTCTTGTATTTGTCATTTTTCATCTGATCTGTTGGAACATATATTTTTGTTAAAGAGAAATGGAAGTTGCACTAGTGAATGTGATGACATTTATTAGAATACATGAATAGTTGGCAGAAAGATGGAAAGGTGGAATGATCATAAGTTGTTTCATATATATATATATATATATATATTTATTTAATTATTATATTATTTACTTCAATTCGTGTGACATATAAACACATATAATTTGATAAGTACTTAACTTTGGCTACACTGTATTTAGGTTTGTGAGAAGTACATTTATGATTTTAATCATTGCTTTATTGCTTTTGTGATTTGATTATATAAGAGATTTTCTACTTTTGCTACAGATCCTCTACACAGTTTATGCTTGGCTGGCAGCGTTGCTTTTCACATTGGTAAGTCAATGACAACATGTGATGATTGATCATTATTTGTATTTAATTGTTTAGTGTTGTATAGTCCTTTGTTTTAATACGACTCCTTCCAATAAGATATAATCTTTATCAAGTTGGATCTCTGATTTATATTTATTGGAAAATCAAAAGGGATAAAGGGATGTTAAAGGATAGTACCAGAATCTTTGATATTATAGACTTTTTCATACTTGTGGTCATTGTAATCATCAGTACTACTAATATGAGCCCCGTTTTACAAAGAGTTGGATATTAATCGTAACTTAATTGTGATTGATATCAATCGTAACTATGTACATAAGAGATAGGAGACTGCAAACTTGCGATTAATTGGAGGACTTACGATTGATTTGGATCGTCGTAACTCTTTGTAAGACGGGGCCCAGTACTACTATCAGCTGATTTAAAAACCTCCACTATCGCTATAATCTATAACTTGATCCTGTCACAAGTTACACATTTTGTTTGACCCTATGTCATCCCGCACAGTTCCTTGCATATGACACCCAGCTGCTGATCGGAGGGCGCCGTTATGAGCTGTCTCCGGAAGAATACATATTCGGTGCCATGAACCTGTACGTGGACATAGTCTACCTCTTCCTCATCATCCTTGCCTGCTTTGGCGGGGGGAAGTGATCTTAGGAGCTGGCCCTCTCTCTCTCTCTCTCTCTCTCTCTCTCTCCTCCCCCTCTCTCTCTCTTTCTCTCACTCTCTCTCCCTCCCTTTCTCTCTCTCCCCCCCTCTCTCTCTCTCTCTCTCTCTTCTTTAGAGCCATTATCCCCCTTTCCATAATTGGAGAGAATAAGTGGTCATGTGACCTGTTTAGCTGATCAGGTGATGCTCCATGGCAAACAACACATGGCTGGCTGATTTAAACTCTTGAATGGCAAATATCCTTTCACATTTACATGCACTAATCACACCTAAAAACTAATTGAAAATGTAGTGACTTTAGAATAGTGTAAAGTCGATCATCTGTATAAATACATCTAGCATTAGAAGTTTAGAACCCAACAGGAAATGCGTAAAGCAAAGAGGGAAAAGACAATTTTGCATTTTGGAACTGTGTATTACAATAATTTGATTCTAAAAAAAGGTGTTCCTTTGTATATACTCATCTTATTCATTTCATCCAGATTGATAGGGAAATTAAGTTTGGATTTACTTATTTCATGTTGCATGGTTAGGAAAATTCATGTACAGAATTAGACATTACCATTTGTAAGATCAGACAAATTTCTTCTCAAATATTCATGTTTTCCCTACAATTGTTCACTGCTATACACCCCATGTATAAGGATTGAAGAATATATATATACACCAGTATATAAATATCCCGAAAGCATAATAATTGCATGATCAATTTCATTCATCATACCAGTTACACATACACTTACACTGTCTATCAAAAACATGTACTATAGAATACATTTATATACTAGTATATTATATTTTCTTTTTTATATGTAGAATTATATCATTCATGCTCATTTTATTGCCAATATAATTCATGTTGTTGTTGTGTGTTGATAGGAAAAAGGTATTTAGTGTCATGTTCAGCTATCTAAGGGAGGCTTTCTTGTTCAAGTTTACAATTATATATATGTAAATATAGATAATAGGCAATCTTATTTGGGGTTATTCAATTCCAACAGAAATGGAATAGGCTAGGCTCAAGAGAATAATAGGAATTAAATGGAAAGAATAATATACTTTCAGCAAACCAATAGAAAAGGCAAAATAGATAACGAATAGTACTATTGGAGAAAAAAAAAGGATATTGAAAATGTGTAGGTGAAAATGTTATTTGATATCATTGTCCTAAAAGATGTGTATTCATATATATATATATATATATATATATATATACAGGCAAGAAGTATGCTGCACTTCATAGCTGCTTTAAGAAAAATCAGAGATCGTCTATAGTTCCTTTTTGCATTTTTCATTTGTCAATACCAATTGCTAAGAAATGGGAAGAATTAAATATATTTACGAAAGAAATATAATCTGCATTTTATAACAATATCTGACAATTACAGACTACATGCTTACCATGCCTATCTACCAAATGTTATAGGCATACCTCTGTGATGAAAATGTAAAAGATATATGAAATTAATGATATTGTTACCTTTTATTGTACCCAATGCCTTAAAAAAAACTTTTGATAAATCAGGATTGAAATCAAATGGACTGAAGTCCTTTGGAGCTGTCTTTTTTGTAGATCTGTATAGTTTTGTAATATACAAGTTGTGTAAGGTTATCAAGATGTATACATGTGATAAACCATAGCTGCATGTGTTAATAATACTTGCACAATAATATGTGAGTGATCATGATACTGTGCTAAGTAGTATAGTGGAGAGTTTTCAATCTTTCTTTTAAATGTACATTGCAGATTCCTAGTTTCAAAATTGATACATTCTATACTTCAGAATCATACATTCATACTTGAATATTGTTGTATATCTATGTTTTTTGGGATTGTTGTGTATGTATAAAGAGTGTGGCAATTTTTTGGTAGAGGTCATTGTCGGGTCAAGGTAGTCATGAAGTGCATGGCTTGTCTTATAATAGTCCACTAGAAATGAATTGATTTTTCTGTGTCGGGATTCACACTGTCAGATGGATTATCTCATGTGTTCATGATTTTTGCTTTCAAATTCCTGACAACAACTCCAGTAGAAAACTATTACATGCACTTGACATTGTATCCCATCAATTTTTAGAAATCTTTCACTTTCACCTTGTTAGTCCTAAAATGGAACCACTTAAAGATATAGTTGGGTTCTGGTCATGCGATTGCATTGTGAAAGAAACATTGTGGAATCGATCAGAAAAGGTTGATCATCTAGCATTCCGGTATAAGTATTGGTGTGTTAGTCCTAAAATGGAACCACTTAATATATGATGTTTCATAACCAGTAATAGAAACATACCCACAAATACATCTGATAATATGATCATTAGCCATTTTTAAAATATCACTTGGTTTAATAAAAACAGGTTCTAGAATGCAGGAAATCTTAATTGGTTGATTGACACCATGTGACCATGCATCATTTTTCCTACCACACCTATCTCTGCAAAACGGTGATACTGTTGGATACTACAGAGCATATCTGTGGCGCATACAAAATTTAAGCCCCAATGAAATGCACATAGTTTCAAATGGAAAAGACATTGATGCACCTATTACACTGTTTGGCTGCACTAAATGTAATGTGGTGTCATGTCATGCAAATGAGAAAATGGCGATCCCATGACTGTGTGATTCTTGGAAATCTGATCGGGTTTGTTTCTTATATCTTGAGTTTAATTTCATTTTGTTGACCCGTTTTATGAAACAAATAATTCATTTTTTAAAGATCATGCGTTCATGGTGCATTGCACTGCACTTGGTCAAGCCACAATGAGCCAGTTAATTGTAGGTCATTATCACGATGTGACTTAACCTGCATGCAGTGCATATTCACAATCGCACTGCAAACATGAATTATTTGTATACTGTTAACTATATCACCTGCAAGTCAACCAAATACAATACACACAGCTAACAATTTAGACTAATGTCTGACACTTTACAAATTTTTAATTTTGTATTTCTAAACCTTTTAATGGCTGGCCCCTCCCACACTCCACCTTCTGTAATGGCAAGTATTAATACTACTAATAATATTATTATTAAGAAATTATTAAGAAATTTGTAACTTTCATATGAACAAATCTCCTTTTGTTTTGTTAAAGTAACTATTGTACCTTTGGGTTAGAGGTTGTTTTGTATACTTTGAGTTGAGGCTGTGGTCCAGTATAGGCTGTTTTCCATTTGGTACATACATGGGATTAACTAATATTTTGTTTTAACTATGTAATAAATGAGAACAGGATGTCTATGACTTGATTACATGTCTATTTATGGCCTACAACAAATGTTATTTTTGTGCAATTAAGTTGTATCCTGAACTATAAAATGTAGTTTATCATAGACCCATGTTATTTTCATAGCTTTTGTAATCATTGATATCTGTTTATCATGGTATGAGTTATTCTGATCAAATATTGAATAAAATTACATATACATTTCATCAGTATACTGTAAACTCTCTTGTGTGAGTTGTCTTTTCTTCTTTAGTCTTTGCTTTAAGTATATGCCTCAAATCTCATCACAAACTGAACATATTATTATATATCGTTTTTATAATCTAACAAGTCAAACAAATACTATTTCTTCTTATGTATAATGTATTTGTTGGATATATTCCCTGGCCACCATCGCTCATAGTCAATTTCTCAATTATTGACTTTCAGCCTTTAAGTTACTCGAGACCTAGCATTATACCTATCCAAAATTATGACCCTGAAATCTAAACCTAAACCACAATTGTATTCAAGTCTTCATACTATGTCTTTAAAGCCTTGTGCAAGGGGTCCCTCTGTCCCCTCATTTAATAAGCAAACATCGGCTTCAAACACCATCCAACCAAATTATCCTGTCGTGTCAATTTCTCTTGTTTGGCTCCATGCTATTCCACAAATTATTATGAATGGCGCCACCACATATTTAACAAACTACATTCTATACACATTACTCATAAATTCATAATCATTGTAAACTCTGCATTTAGAAATATCTCTCTCGCCTGAGAACATTGAAGCCAATCATTTATTCCAGTGTCATGTGACCTGAAGTGTGCACATTTTTCTTTGTAGGGGTCAGACACATCAAATAATTGCAAGAAGATTGATTATTGGTTTTACTCCAGTCTTTGGAGGGATTGAAGGTGCAATAAGGTGCTCGAAATTCAATTTTAAAAAGATACTTTCTTCCAAAGGATGAGTATTTTTCTTCAAACTCATCGAGATTCGAGTACTTGTTTAGTAATAAATAGAATCGTTGATATTTTCACCATAATGATGACTTTGAAAAGGTGTGAGGCATTCTTACGTTTTTCTATTGTTATGCTTTAAATATTAAGAAATTACATAGCAAAATTATATAATTATGTTGGCGTGGAACAGTTCATCTCGAATACATTGCTTCACCGCGTTTGATGCGAGATGACGTTCTGGATTTGAAAACGTGGTTTCAATTTACCTCCCAACGATCTACCGTCGCCATCGGGCTCTGAACTGATTTATCCTACAATGGATGATGATATATTTCAAGGAATCTTAGGGGTGTGTATACCTACCACCCACCCGTTTGATACCGGGATCAGATGGGGGCAATAAGATGTTATCTAGCGGCTCATGCTGTTCAAAAGCTCGAGATTTTTGGTAATTTCTCAGCTATAGCCAGTTCAAGTCAGTGCAAGACTGGTTCTCTGCATGGATAAAAAGTTAAAATACACTTTATCATTTTCGCAAGTTGGAATAATGTACATGTACAAGCTACGGGCCTGCATAGGGATTTGAATAACTGGACCTTCCTCTCTGCATTACGATTCCTTTTAATGACCTTTTGATATAAAGTTTCAAAGGGATTTTGTCCAACCAACACAATCGGATCATTGTCAACTTCAACATGAAAAAATAATTCGAAGGCTTTACACAAATTAGGGTGGTGGAACACAATTATTGGTTCATTAGCACAACACTAATCAACTTTTGCCGATGATGACAATGATAAAGCTTGACTACCAATCTACATAATTATCTACCTGTCATCATTGCCCTTGACCTATGGTGGTCGGTGACGTCGTGTTCCGTAATTGAGTTAGGTCTTGCATTCCGACATTGCAATCATCACTAAAGATGCTTTACGTTATACGGTCTAACGAGAATACTGCACTGATCTGAATAGACCAGTTATGGTATAAGGGCATGCATCCATGCATGGTCACACAATGATGAGTTTGAGCTATATGGTAATATTATAAGTCATATCATAAATCAATATTGTGTTTCATTGGAAATTCATTTTCGTAATATACAAATCGATGAAATTATTAATTCTATTACTCCAGTGGTCACCCATTTAGCACCTGGGTGAAGAGCAATGTAGATGAAATGCCTTTCTCAAGGTCATAAGTGCTGTTCCGGGGCTCGAACCTAGGACCTTTGCATTCCCAGTCAAGTGATCAAACTACTGGACTTCGACACGTCTAAAAAGATATTATTTTGCTTTGTTTTCCTTTATTGTCGTCACGATTATCTAGCAAATGGAGATTATTCATTTCATAATGAAACGACAAAACTGTGTGAAACTTTTTTCTCTACTACTCTGTGAACCCCATTAAACCTTTTGAATATAATTCGTTGGATATCTTTACAAATAGCTGATATAAGCGCTATACTGTACAGGCAAACGTCGAATTCCCGTCAATTTAGCCTTTGTACAGTTCTGCCCTCACCTCTATTATGTTTGTTTATTGCTGTTTTTTGTACATTTGATTTTGAAATTGATATCGAGAAATTATTATTGTAATAAAGAGTCTTTTCCGCATCCCAAGGGCTAAATCGCAGCAGGATTTTCATTTGTAGATAACTATAAAAAGCATTTCAGGGTTTAAAAAGATTAACACCAACCTCGTAAAATCAATTCTTGCCTTCTTCATAATTCTTCCGATAGCCGTCTTTTTCATCATGTTTTCGTGTTTTGTCATTTTCTAATAGACATGTCACATACAATAGGTTTTAAATCTGTATTATCCAACGCGTGAATCGTGTAACCACAGCGTCACGCTAGCGTTTTATCTCCAAATTAGCTCTTGATGAATGAATTCGAATAGAATCAGAAAAGTGCAATAAGCCATCTCTGTTATCTCTTTATTTCATCCTCCTCCCTAGTCCGACCCACACTGCATTCATGCAGTATTTTATGATTTTATAGAATTATTGAAAAGCCTGTAAAATGAAAACCATGGGTTAAACCGAGTCGAATATGCATGTATATTTGCACTGCAGGGGTGGGTCATTGCCGGGTCAAATAAAATAAAACTAATGAAATTTTAAAAAAACACGATACCTTAGGGAACTAATCGTTACAAGATTCTTCATCAAGGTTTTTTAATAAAGATATCGAAATATGTAACATAACTACCGGCTAATCTTTAAAGGTATAGACCAGTACTGGTCATGCTATTGCACTGTGAAAGAAACGTTGTGGAATCGATCAAAAAAGGATGATCATCTAGCATATAAGTATTGATGGGTACTGCAAGGTTCTGTAATCATCAAAATGATAAGAAATTTGGCCCAGTCTTGGTAAAGTTACAAACACTGTACACAGAAAGATGTTTATGAGACTACGCGATATCTATCCAGTCTGGATAGATATGATAATTTACCAAATATATCAATTAGTAGGCGGTTTCCCGGCAAAATTTGTATCATCACGTATCAGTCAAAACATATTCTTCCACATGATTGGTATAAGAGCTTCCATTTCATTTTTTGAGATGGGGCGTTTCCAAAACTGGTCTATACCTTTAAAAGAAAGGATATCTTTTCTATGATGATAATATCCTACTATCTATTAATTTGTTTATTATTTTACCTTGTAGTTTAATTTTAATGTGCAATACAAAGCTCTCTTGCAAAGTAATTTTATACTGAAGAAATTACTCTGTATAAGAACACAGAATAAATAAAACAACAAATAATTTCTTGAGCACTTCGCAATGATAATGATAATCATTCATTAGTGCTATCTGACAGGAATTCGTGTGCGTCAGTCAACTTCCAGTAGATTTCCTCGATTGAATCCCTGATTTGGCATTTCCGACTTCAGAAAGGAATGATCCGTGAAGCGGAAAATCATTTGCTCGAAAATTAGACTAATTCTAGTGATTTAAGACCCTCCATTTCGCCCGAATATTCCTTTATTGTGAAAGAGTTGATTTTATTTTTCACACATTTTAATCACAAAGAAAATAGTATTGACATTGAATTTATGGAGATTGACAGGATAAATCAACCAAAAATGACATTTCGTGTCATCAGTCTTCAGCAAATGTATGCCCTATGTTGTGACTTTGTGCATTTCATGTCTGCTTTATCGATTGATGAATGGGAGCATATCTGGAAGACAGTCAATGTGAGTAGTATAATATACAATAGAACGAAGCGTAAACTTTAAATTTTAGTACTGGTACTACACCAACAAAAGGATTATTCACTTTGAAAGCACTGTTTCTAAGAGTTAAAAAGTAAAATAATGTATTAGTAGACATTAGAGTTTATCGACAGTAGAGAGAATGTGAAAGAGAAAGTGAATACATTATAAAGAGGAATAAACGAAGATGGAACGATGGAATTTTTTTTTTTTTTTTTTTTTTTCAACACAAAAAGTTGTTATATGACATGAAACCCCTTATATTTGATTTTCATTTTCACGAGTTCGCCCAAATTCCTAGGAACCCCCTTGTGAGTTTTCCAAGCCTTCTTTCATGTATTAAACGTTGAGGGCCTGACTAATGACATCCGTTTTACATTAAAGAGACTTTTATTCAAAAACGATGTCGTCTGCTACAACATATTGGTTTTGTTACCAACATTGCAGTTCAAAAACATTGCAATTCGCATACCAGACAGTACCAAATGGAAATGATTAACAAGAGCGATTTTTAGATCCCCGGTACTTTTGCGCTATTAGACTTGAACTTGAAACAATTGTCAGCTAATGTGCCGATATAGGATATTGAACAAAGTACAGTATTCAAAGATTTATCTCGATTCGCTTCAATTGCGAAAAATGAATGCGGAGTCAAAAAAATGTAGGATTAAAGTGAACGCTTGTGATTATGTTTAAAATCAGTTCACCAAAACTTAAATATCGTTTATAAACAACATTTAAACATAAAGGAAAATTATCATGTCATTATTCAAACAATTTTGCGAAAATGTTTATAATATCTAACAATTTATTTAAAACAAGCATTTGTATTGTAATTTATGTACTGAAGGGAATGAAACAAAATTGTAGAACATTTTTGCTTGAATATTTGTGTCTATTACTAAACTTCAAATGTCTCTTTTAGGTTGTTGGTTTCGTGAACCATTTCGGAAGGCTCGAGAGACCGACTTTGTCGGTTTCATGGGCTGCTGGTGTAGTATCCCGTCGACGGTCTCGTAAGCTCTCGATGTCATAATCTGCTAGTATTCCATTGGCATTGCAACGTTGCATTTTCCCCACAATTCAACATGTTCAAGATACCGCAACAAAGTTACTGGGTATAAAGATAAATCAGTTTAAAGGCCCACTACACTACTTGTAGCTACTTGCGCCCTCTATATAACAACCCATGCCTAATCGGTGACCATTGGTCCCCCATTATCCTCTTTTTTTTATGTTAACTGAGAGCTGAGTAGATTAGATAACCACCTGTCCAGTGACCTTGCAGGGCAGTCTAATCCCTCCTGTAAACTATGGCAGATACGCTTTAAAGGAATTTTTTTTCTCACTGCAACATTTTCTTGATCTCAGTAAGCAGGTGGAGGGGTGAAATGGGGAAATACTCTACTTCATGGGGTACATGCTCCCCAAGAGTTTATGTTATTATTTTTTTCTGCTGCAAACATTTTTCCTTTATGATACCCTGAGGTTGGGGGGGGGGGGGGCTACGCCAATGCTTAATACGCCACTAAGTTATGCTCTTAAAAATAATATGATTGCCAATGTAACCATAATGAGGAGAACACAGCTCATTCTATAACCTAAAATAATACAGACTTCAGTATTTAATAATATGCACAAGCCGACGTTGTAATCTCGTACAAAAAATTTCCCCCCGAAAGTTCAGAAGTCATCATGTTCTTGTTTAAGGATCCTATAGATAGAATGATATTCACGCTGAGATGTGAATTCTCGACCTCAGATGAGACATCCCAGCAGGACCACTAAAACTATACGATCAGCAGAGAATCATGATAATGACCTCTTTCGAGAGGATATAACCATGGAGGAATTGGAAGTCCAACTTTGTACATACCCCCTCTCTCTAAGTCTCTCTCTAAGTCTCTCTCTCTCTCTCTCTCTCCCTCCCTCCCCTCTCTCTCTCTCCCTCTCTCTCTCTCCCCCCTCTCTCTCTCTCTCTCTCTCCCCCTCTCTCTCTCTCTGTCTCTCTCTCTCTGTCTGTCTTTCTTTCTCCCTTTCTTTCCAAGTCATCCCCATTATTTTTTTCTTCTTCCATTCCCATGTGTTTATCTTTAATTGTAAAATACTTCTTCGCTATCCTTGTCCCGTTCAATCTTACGGTGGTCAATTTACTACTATCGACAAATGAACATTTCTGTCAAACAATTTACCTTTTATGTCTGTCATTTTATTTTCCAAACTTTGCATTCCCAGCTTATAACTCTAACTTCCCCTTTTGTTGATCTCTACTACGAGGCCCTTTAAAAAAAAAGCAAACAGTGTGACGAAAGATGCCGTTTTTGATACCTTCATGCTCGTGGCAATTTAAACTGTAATTCCATATAATGAAGGTAATCAGTATGGTCCTCAATACTTTTTTTTAAAAGATATTGAAAAGGTCTTTTTCTTTCTTCATACATGATTAATCTAGCAGTCATCTTTCCCAAGTCCGTCTCCCTAGTTATTCCCGAGAATATTTTAATGGTAGCTCGTGCCGATGATAGCTGCTTTTGTGGATAATTCAAAAGAAGCTGCTACAACGAATTTCTATAGCTAATGAATAAACGATTTATTTCTCCATTCCTTTCGTTATTCCCTCCCGTCCTTTTTCCAGTGTTATTGGCTATGTTAGTGTTTACTAATACTGATGGAAGTAAGCCATGTATTTGCATAGCAGACGGCAAAGTGCATGTCCTCCTCTACGCATGCGTGCAGTCGCTCCGAACTTTTGTGCACTGTGAGTGGCCAGTGCGTTTTAAGTAGCAGACGATGCTTGTTGAACTTCAGTCAAGTCGAGTACATGGTATACTTTTTGCTTAGCCACCGTGAGCGCTACGGGGATCAGCAGAGCTACGGTGCCCTAAATATTTCATTTAGTGAGTAACCTTTCATCAAGAGCACACACGAGTGACAGCGAATTGGGCTGAGGTGGACTGGACCTACATGTAGCCTGCAGGTGTACAATGATTTAAAGTGTAGCCTATTATGAACACGGACCAAAGCAGGTCCTATTGACCCATTTGAACAGCTTGCAGATCAAGGCGGAGAGATTGGGTGCGACTCAGAGAGTAACAATAGTTCTTCCTATTCGAGATTTTAAATGCCCGTTTTTCAGATTTGGGCTTAGCTCTCCCGGAATCTAAAGAGGAGGAGTCAACGCTCTCTTCATCGGCTTGAAAACTACTTTAGTATGAATAGATGCAATATAATGCTAAATTAGATTCTTAAAAACGGCTTTGCGAGCTAGAGGAATTATCACACTTTGATTTGTGTCCGATTATCTTCCGTTTTTCACTACTTTATTTCCAAAAGCAATAACTTTCAAATGGAAGTTTAACCTAAAGGCGAAGTTGGCGGTAACTTCTTCTTGAAGTCACGCGAAGGCCAAAGTTGGAATCGAATTGGTAAGGGCATTATTCAACCAAGTGGAGTTACCTCATATGGATTTCTCTTTAAAATTGTATTCTCTACTATAGGTGAAAGGGACCAACGATTAGAATGGCTCATGGAAAATCAATGCCACGTCTTTCAGCAACCTCATCACGAGGAGCTTTTTTCGTGTTTTTGATTTCAATTGTCGTTGTGGTCGACGGATGTGTTTTAATGAAATTAAATGATTTTGAGCCGATATCCGTGGAGAAAAGGACTGCTTTAGCTGACGTGATCATCTCAGGTACCGTACTGCGTGTTCTCCGACATCAAAGATCGTGGGACTCGACATACCCTGCCGATGTACTCGTTGCCGATGTCTACAAGGGATACGAGTTGTTCGACAACGCGACGTCGCTGTCGGAAGATGAAATACAAGCGGAATACAGGAGCTATTACCCTCACGTTTACCGCATCGACCGATTCGGGGATCAACGACTATGCTGGGCCGATGTCGTCCCCGGGAAGAACTACGTGTTCTATTTGACGACGAACCCGAGTCCGAGGGATTTAGAGATGGCTTCTGATGGCGAGGAGGTTGTCGATATGTCAACGATGATGACAAAGGAAGGGATAAAGCTTGAGGCTAGCCATGATGCTGTGTCAGGGGCTTCTATCGAATACGATGTGAATACAGAGGAGAACATTCTCAATATACTAGGTATGTTATAGCTTCTATTTATCGTCTGATCATTACTTCTCGTTAAACATGAGGTGTCACTTGAATAATATTTGTTTTGACTATCATAGGAGTACAACGTGTTATTGGTTTGGGATAAACATTGACATGAGTCAAGACAAAGAAACATTGGGTCGATGTCTTGACAGGCTCATGTTCCATGAGAATTCTAGATAGAGTGTTAGACATGATGTGTGGCAATACAACAGCAATGGATGAGAAAGTATGAAGGAGATAATGATGTTTATAATGATGATGGTGGTTGTGGTGGTGGTGGTGGTGGTGGTGGTGGTGGTGGTGGTGATGGTGATGGTGAAGAAGAAGAAGAAAGAAAAAGAAGAAGAAGAAGAAGAGATGGCGATGACGATGGCGTGGTAGTTCATAGTGGTGAGTTTATTTATGCGCTTCCAAAGACGTCATAATGATAATTTGATACCAATCGGTGATACATATTAACATGTTAACGCTGTTTAATAAGTAATTATAGACAGTACAGATCTAAAATGATGGCATACCATTTCACGTAGCTATAAATGAAAGCATTAATAATTATATGGAAGCAAAATGTCTAAGCTGCTGTTGAATATTTGATGAATGATTGTAAAACCTTTTAAAGCGAGACCGCTGGTCTTAGATAGTTCGTCGCAGTAGCATCGTAATTTCATTTCCCTATGGCATATATCAATATATTTATAAAAGTTCAATAATGATATCATGATCTGTAATGTCCCTTTGCTTCTCTTATGGACGTCATGGACCAAGGGCTTATGCAACAGTTTTATAGGCAACGACAATCTCCTAGTCAAAGTTTGCAAATGTTTTTCTTCTAAGTTTTAGGATATTACAGTCGATCAATGGTCAAAAAATAAAAATCCATATCACTTTACCATCCCATGATCATCCTTATTATGTAGAACATTCTCTTTGATATACCTCCAGCCAAGAGTGAGTTTACAGTACTTCTCACATCTCATTGGTTTAGCTACATATTCACAGTACGTGACATTCATGTTTCTCTCTCGTTTCGCGCTGAGGTCATAATGTAATAGAACACCTGCTCATTAGTGCAGAGCTGTTGCAGATCCTAAATAGGAAAATGAGGTGGGTGTGAAGTTTGGCTTGGTATTATCAGCCAAACACACACACTCAGCACACCTGCACTTCCATGCAGGCTTGGAACATAAATCGTCTCGAGAGAGGGATGAGGGGGAGATAAAGGTGTATTATCGGTGACATTCGCGGGGTCGACTTGTACAAATAATATCTTAATATTCAATATTGCATATGATGACGTTTGTCATTTTCGAGCTTACGCATTCATATTCGCTCACAATAGTGGTAGAATTTTCTGCATGCAAATCATGTCAAGGAATAGATATACATATGCGGCATGTATTTCACTGATACCACCGACACAAAAATGAATAAATAAATTTAAAGAAAACAAATTACAATTCAAAGGAAAAAATGTATTGTTATGTTATGTTTGCATAATTAATCAATCGCCTTTCAGCAGTGCATGGTACGTGCTATATCGACTAAATACCAAACCGTAATTTGTCGTACTCGATTATTCTTTTCAGCCTCATTAAACCTTTCAAAGTGTATGTCAGCACGCTTGGATTAGTGTTCGTTCGCCATTATCCAATAATTCATCTATACCATATCCCTAATGTTTAGTAGCAGTTTGTACTGTTGCATCGAATACAGACAAATGGAAAGGAATGAAGGGATACATTATTGGAGAGCGTGGTATGTTGTCATAAATCGATGGCATATTGATAATACATATTCAGAAAACACCATTTAGCGGTCTACTTCCAAATATAAACATTCTGCAATCGTAGCAATGGACAAATAATACCAGTTTCATACCACTGACGAGGGCACATGCAAGCTACTGTTTGAGGGAGGGGTAAGGGACATGCTCTATCAGGGGGGGGGGGGCTCCGTCCTTCTTTCTTTGTAAGAAAAAGAGGTACTTGCCCCTTGTATATTCATTGTGAAATAACATTTCTTCAAGAGAACCAGAAAGAAACAGACCTGGTAATTCTACACACACAAAAAAGAAATCGAGCCGAACAAATGCAAAGAAAAAGAATACGGTAATAAAGCGTTTAGTGAAAAGTTGTTCCTTATTCTAACCCCACTTTCTTTAGCTTCTCTTATCTCTTATTTATTGCCCATTATTTGATGGTCAGCTTGAAAAATAAAATACAGGGCTCGCAAACCCCTTTTAGAAAATGGTATGTCAATATTTGTTGAAACATACTCTTTCTTCTATTTTGATACTCCCAAGTGTATACCCCCTCCTCGTCTGACCTGCATTTACAGGTCCCTGGCTTGGACTATAGATCAAGTTTATGTCCCTGGTTCAAGTATGATATCATCAAAAGTATAGACTATTAACTATTTCGTTTTGGTAATGTGAAAACTTTTCCCTCACTGTTCTCCATTTGTAATATTGTTATCGCCACTGAAAATTACTAACCTTTGAATATCAGTAGTTACCATTTATATTTTTACTGCCCCCGGTCTTTTTTGTGCACTTCTATTCTTGTTTATTTCCTTAATTATCGGTGATTCAGTCATACATTTTCATAGCATTCAATCACTGTATACTATATTCAATCTACAAAAATAAATACAAGAATGAATGAGTGCTACATCTATAAACTGAACAATGAATATCCATAGCAAGCTACCAAGGTGTGAAGTCAATTTCATAGTAATGGTAGCTTTGATCCAAAATGATCTAAAATCATTAAACAGGTCCCTCAGGTCAGTAAATTTCTTATGAAGTAAGTAAAACAAATTACCCGTTTCCAAATAGTTTATTGTAATTTACTTCATTTTATTTTCATAGAGGGAATGAAAAAACTTCTTCTGATCTTTGAAAGGTACATTTAGAAAGTAAATTTCACCGGTGATTGTGATTATGTAGCCTTGTCAATATCTAGAGTTAACATGCTTTAGGTCACTAACTAAATTACCTTTCCAATAAGTGAATACATGCATGGAAAACAAATTTACAGGTGACCTACTGTATAATGGAATTTTCAAGGATACATTATGTAGGAAGAAATAAACCTGATCGACATCAAGATTTTGTTACAGTTTTTTAACGAGCAATCAGATAAGTCATTTGAATGATTGTTGTTTTTGAACCAATAAAAAAAAAATCTTGAAGTGGAAAATTAGAGTCAATTTGATTTATTCCTGGAGAAAGGAAATTAACAGAATAAAAAGTAACTTTTCTCTCACTTTATTACCCGTATCGTTCTCTTTGAATTTGGTCTTGCTCGAGTTGATTTATTTTGTTGTTGAATTACCAGGTCCTTTTCTTTCTGGTTCACTTGAAGAAAATGCAACTTCACAATGAATATAGATTTATTGCTCTAGTACGTTGTAATTTTGTCCTGAAGGTATAACAAGCTTATTGTGTCTGGAATTACGGGTTATGGATGGGCTGCTCAACAAGGCTTGTGAAAAGAGAACCCTTTAAAAAAAATTCTTTGGTAAATTTGTTTTCGGCTTATTCGTCTGCTTGTTTGTTTGCCTGATTCTTTCTTTTAATGAGGCCTTTACGATACATTTTTTAATCAAAATTTTAGTTTAAAACTATACATGTACATGTCAATTTAAAATAACTTTATCAATGATTTCTAATTGGAATCGTAGATCAAGAAGATAGAACAGAATGTATGCCAAATTGGTTTAAATATGTACACATGGCAACCAAGAAATTATAAATGTTCACACTTTTAAGGAATTTGCAGACGCCGTTCTCTGAAAGATGGGGAGGAGGGGGGAGGGTGAAAAATCTGAATTAGTGGAGACCAATAATGAATGTAAGAGAAATGTGTTACGCCATTTGGCCAATGAATTGAGTAGAAGAATGAGATAATCGTGTCTGTGGGTCCCACAAATGTCACACCTATTAGAAGGGGAGCTTGATCCGCTGGGAGGGGGCGTCAGGGGTAACAAGCCGCATACCTATCCTCCAGAGTTCACTATATATCCAGAGCTGACATGATACATGTAACGAGCCCTCTCTTTTGAAGTGATATGGTATAGTCGAAGAAAGAATGTTTCCCACAATACAGCGCCACCTGTCCCACGGAGGCATCCAAATATTTTCATCGACTCGGATGTCATGTGAGGGATGTCGACCAGTCCGTCATTCGAATAGAGATCCCACCTCGACGATTATCATCGTGGCGATGATGGGATAAAACGTGTCGATGATAATAGGATAGTCAGGTGGAATAGGGGAAGATAAATCACCTATGATTTGCCCTTGCCCCGTTGTTGGTCATCAGTGGCTCACGTAGCTAAAGAGAATGGGGCACCCCCCCCCCCCCCCCCCATGAAAATAGTAAAAAAATAATTGAGAGTGAGAAAGACATGAAGGGGAAGGGAAAAGGAATGTGAAGAGAATATACGCCCCACCCCCGCACCCTCCCTCTAATTAGTGGCCTTGCTCATTCGCATTTTATCCACAAATTACCCCCCCCCCCCCCCTCAACACAAGCGCCCCCTCAACGACTGGGCCTACCTACGCCTCTGGTTGTCATATACAAAATATGATACCCTAGTAATACCGTAAGATACAATAATACGAGGGGGAAAAGGTGGACATAACAGACAAAGAGATGAAGAAATAACGAGAAGTGGGGAGAAATCTGCTGTTCATCAAGATTTGAAGTGCCTTTATGAACATGAAGGAGAAATAAAGTAGCAATGTCAGCACCCTCTGTACTCCTTGATTTACAAATGTTTTTATACCATCACTCAAAGTCAGAGATATGAATTAAAATGAGAGTTAGTTGAGAGTTATTTATGCTAGTGTGAAAGAACAATCATGTTTGTTTGATTAACGCTATGTTAGAGTGCCCTAATGTTCATATTTCATAGTTTGTTGATACCCGTTCTCCTTGCCAACGCCCCTCTCCATAAGCCTGCTCGTGTTCTATTTCTCG